TTCGGAGCTCATTAACTGTTTAATAATTGTAAACAAAGCCGCCAAAGATTGAGAAAAGATGTACAGGTTCGTAAGTGCTGGCGTAAGTGCTTTCGTGAATCTGGCCCCATAACTATAACTACCTCTTACTTAAACTTCTCCATTATGGAATCCGAGGCCTTGCACTGAGCTATATTCGATCCTATCTTGTGACAGCCAGACACCAATATGTAGCCATCAATTATATAACCTGTCCCACTCTACCGACCGGCTAAGGAACCGGTCGGCCAAGCGGACAGCACGCTGGACTTGTGATCCTGTGGTCCCGGGTACGATCCCGGGTGCCGGCGAGAAACAATGGGCAGAGTTTCTTTCACCCAGTGCCCCTGCTATCTAGCAGTAAAATAGGTACCTGGGTGTTAATCAGCTGTCACGGGCTGCTTCCTGGGGGTGGAGGCCTGGTCGAGGACCGGGCCGCGGGGACACTAAAGCCCCGAAATCATCTCAAGATAACCATTAACCGTAGGAGTGTCACAGGGCCGCATCCTAAGACCTCTCCTATTATATTAATTCATTGGTCCGAGGGACAGGAAGCCATGTAACACCATAAAGGTGTTTTGTATTGTATTTTACATACAACATGAGTCAGCCAGACAGGATATGTGAACGCGCCAGATTGTCTGGCCTTAGCAATTAAAAAGTCACACCTCTAGAGTGTTAATTGCAACAGGTCAGGTCATGTGAATTGACCTTGCTTTCTGCTAAGCTAATAATTGCACAGTTGGTGGTGTCTTCCATCAAACAAGCCGCTATTTATTGCGTGGTAGGTAGATGGTTTGAGGCTATCTACTTAGTAGATAGCCTCAAACCATCAAATAAATATCTCTTTGATATCCCCAGGGTCAAACTTAATCTGTGTAAACACTCTATGCAAATTAAGGGACCTAGTCTATGGAACTCACTGCCTAGTGAATTGAAAAACTGTAAAACTTTTGCTTTATTTAAAAGCAAAACCAAAAAGTACCTAACTTCATCTATTTAGTTTCCTACACTGAGCTTTAAATTTGCTCTGTACCTAGTGTTACCCAATCTCCTAATTTTTATGTAATATCAAACAACCTTATCATTGTGTTCATTGCTGTCTTCTTTTATGTGCTAGCCATATGCTGTATTGTGACTACCAATTTTTGTCAACTACCATTCAAGCTGTCATTGCAATCAATCTTATATTGTTTCTGCTGTATTGTGCCTACCAATTTGTTGTCAACTACCATTTTAAGCTGTCATTGTAATCAATCATAGCTACCTATGTGCTTTAATATACTGTACCTATAATTTTCTCTCATCTTCTTTTTTTTCATTCCATGTAATCTGTTATCATTTTTTTGTCTATAAATTTTGCAAGTATTTACCTCCTTAAAGTTTTTTTAGATTAAGGACCTGCCCGAAACGCTGCGCGTGCTAGTGGCTTTACAAGACTGTAATTACCATATTTGTATCCTCACATTCCTTATGTACATTCTTGTATATGCATAAATAAATAAATAAATAAATAGATAGCCTCAATCTATCTATCTACTGCCCGAAACGCTGCGCGTGCTAGTGGCTTTACAAGACTGTAATTACCATATTTGTATCCTCACATTCCTTATGTACATTCTTGTATATGCATAAATAAATAAGTAGGAGGAGCTTTCGTCCCGGTTCCCCCCAAAATACCCAGGGAACTGTACATTCGGACAGGGAGGATTGAAGATTGAGTAGCAGTGAGAGTTACATTGCTTGTCAAGAGGTCCCAGCCACCAGACTGGTCTCCCCAGGCCAGGTTCAAGTTCAAGTTCAAGTATGTTTATTGAGATAAGCAATAAATACATCTCAAAGGGATAGAGTAGCTTAGGCTATTTCTACCCCCCTCTACTTCAAGTCCCTCAAGGGGCGCACAAATTCAGTGAGTACAAATAGACATATAACAGTACAAGAATCCCATTTAACATTGCATACAGCAAGTACAGCATATAATTGTTACATTCTTGGGGCAAAATTCTTGTAGCTCCTAAGTATACTGTCTATTATACCATTATCACACATCCAAACAATTTGATGTGGTACACTATTTATTTCCTTATTTCTATATGGAAATAAATATTCCCTCCCCAGGCCAGGTAGGGAACTCTCTCAGTCAACCGCCCCCCCCCCCAGGCCAGGTAGGGAACTCTCTCAGTCAACCGCCCCCCCCAGGCCAGGTAGGGAACTCTCTCAGTCAACCGCCCCCCCCCCCCAGGCCAGGTAGGGAACTCTCTCAGTCAACCGCCCCCCCCCAGGCCAGGTAGGGAACTCTCTCAGTCAACCGCCCCCCCCCCCCGACCTCTCTTTCCAACTTATTTTCAGAGATTTTGGTGAGTTGAATTTTAAGGTGACAAATTTGGTATGTTCCCAACTGAAGGTGTTGTGTGATTTGCGAGGGCAGTCAGTCGTAGTGGTTATCTTGAGGTTATCTTGAGATGATTTCGGGGCTTTTTAGTGTCCCCGCGGCCCGGTCCGGTCCTCGACCAGGCCTCCACCCCCAGGAAGCAGCCCGTGACAGCTGACTAACACCCAGGTACCTATTTTACTGCTAGGTAACAGGGGCATAGAGTGAAAGAAACTCTGCCCATCGTTTCTCGCCGGCGCCCGGGATCGAACCCGGGACCACAGGATCACAAGTCCAGCGTGCTGTCCGCTCAGCTCCACGTTACAGGGTGCATTTATACACATTTGACTTTCATCGAAGTCCCCCCTCCAAGGCCGGATTAACCCGCCCAGGATGGAACAGCACAACAAACTGACTTAACGCCTCAGTACCTACTCACTGCTAGGTGAACAGAGGTATTAGTTGAAAGAAAATGGGCCAACCATTTCTGTCCCGTCGGGAATTCGAACCCAGAATTCTTGATTGTGTGTCGAGAGCGATCCCGACTGTACTAACTGAACCCTATTGATGATATATCAATGATCTGCCTATAATGTCTCTAACATTCATAAACCTATACTATTTGCTAACGATACTACCCCTCATCTACTCAGACCCCCAACCCACACACACTAAATAATGTTGTAAATAACGAATTAAAATAAAATCTACTCATAGATGTCAACCAACAAACTTACACTAAACAGAGAAAAGATCTACTACATTTTATTTGGAAGCAGTTTTACGTGTTATTGCTAAACACTTTCTAGAGCGCTCCAAGCCGCGCCCTCCCTCGATCACGGCTGGGAGAGAATTATCAAGATAATCAGCTACATAATTAATTAACCTTAATAGGTTTGAAAAAATAAAGCAAATCCGCACATCAGATACAATAACAAAGGTTTTCCAAGCATACAATAAAAAAGATATTTCAATTAACACTACTAATTTTTTATGTTAATAATTATTAAATACAATAAAAATTAATATATATATATAACGTTTTAAAGACAATTTTAATTAACTTTTGACTCATAAGTAAATTTTAACTCTTAATACTGAAATTTTATGACATTTCATATATTTTCAATTTTTAGATCGCGAGAATCTTTTTTTACAGTTGTTTACACAAACACTTACTGAAGTACATTGAGTATTGGCAGCTCCCTCTCTCTCTCTTTTATTTTGAGTGTGTCTCTCTCTGGGGATGAGTATGGGGTGCATAATAAAGAAAGAAATTGAATTCTCTCTCTCTCTCTCTCTCTCTCTCTCTCTCTCTCTCTCTCTCTCTCTCTCTCTCTCTCTCTCTCTCTCTCTCTCTCTCTCTCTCTCTCTCTCTCTCTCTCTCTCTCTCTCTCTCTATCTCTCTCTCTCTCTCTCTCTCTCTCTCTCTCCTCTCTCTCTCTCTCCTCTCTCTCTCTCTCTCTCTCTCTCTCTCTCTCTCTCTCTCTCTCTGTCTCTTTGTCTCTCTCTCTCTATGTCTCTATGTCTCTCTGTCTCTCTCTCTCTCTCTCTCTCTCTCCTCTCTCTCTCTCTCTCTCTCTCTCTCTCTCTCTCTCTCTCTCTCTCTCTCTCTCTCTCTCTCTCTCTCTATATATATATATATATATGTCGTACCTAGTAGCCAGAACGCACTTCTCAGCCTACTATGAAATGGCCCGATTTGCCTAATAAGCCAAGTTTTCATGAATTAATTGTTTTTCGACTACCTAACCTACCTAACCTAACCTAACCTAACTTTTCGGCTTTATAGGTTAGGTTAGGTTAGGTAGGGTTGGTTAGGTTCGGTCATATATCTACATTAATTTTAACTCCAATAAAAAAAATTGACCTCATACATAATGAAATGGGTAGCTTTATCATTTCGTAAGAAAAAAATTTGAGAAAATATATTAATTCATGAAAACTTGGCTTATTAGGCAAAAAGGCCTTGCATAGTAGGCTGAGAAGTGCATTCTGGCTACTAGGTACGACATATATATATATATATATATATATATATATATATGTCGTACCTAATAGCCAGAACGCACTTCTCAGCCTACTATTCAAGGCCCGATTTGCCTAATAAGCCAAGTTTTCATGAATTAGTGTTTTTTCGTCTACCTAACCTACCTAACCTAACCTAACCTAGCTTTTTTTGGCTACCTAACCTAACCTTACCTATAAATATAGGTTAGGTTAGGTTAGGTAGGGTTGGTTAGGTTCGGTCATATATCTTCGTTAATTTTAACTCCAATAAAAAAAAATTGACCTCATACATAGAGAAAAGGGTTGCTTTGTCATTTCATAAGAAAAAAATTATAGTAAATATATTAATTCAGGAAAACTTGGCTTATTAGGCAAATCGGGCCTTGAATAGTAGGCTGAGAAGTGAGTTCTGGCTACTAGGTACGACATATATATATATATATATATATATATATATATATATATATATATATATCCAACCCAAGTGGTTGAGCCACATAGGTGGAGAGCTAATGTCACAATTGATAGATTTATTCGGCACTCCGGCCCTCTTAACCTCTGGTCAGTTAGGAGTGAATGAATGACTGCTGGCGGGCCGCCGCAGCTGCTCCATCTCTGAGACTAACCGACCTGACCAGCGTAAACAATTCTGGAACAGCTGTTGAAAGTGTTATTGATTTGCCGTAATGGGAAATGCTGATACTAAATTACATTTTCGAAAAGCGGTTGTGCAGCTTACAACAAAAACACAGGTGAGACAAGTAAACTAACTAGCGCTGTTGAGAATAACCCTTTAACTGTTCCTGACGAATTCAGGAAAAATTTCACATTTTTGCATCGTTGATTAGTTACCTCCAATGAATTACTTTTGGTTAAGCCTCTCATCTAGGTCTAAGGGACGTCTAGTCCCTTCGCCATTTGGGAATCAATGGAAAGCAGTTTGAGATTTTTTGCTCAATCTGCACTGATTTTTGCCCAAAGGAATCCAGACCACTTCTTCGGAAGGTCGGATGTAACACAAACAAGGAGCAATGGTATCAAGCTACAATGTAAGACGGAAAACATGTTTTTTCCACCCACTGGGTTATAAACCCGTGAAAGCCGTAAATGCTAAAACACTGCTGCAATTCAAAATCCATCTGTGTAATATTGTCAGGAAAATGGGAGGACCTTTGACAAGTTGTCGGCTTCCTGTCCTCATCGAGGCTGCTAGAGAGATAGTGCCTCTTTGGTAAATATAAGTCAATTCAGGAAAGCATCCTATAGGGATGGAACAATGCCCAAAACATGTCAGGTGGGTTGATAGATTTAAGCTTCTGATGTGATCTTTATGTAGGGAGGAGTGTGGACTCCAGTGCTGGATTGTGTCGGAGGCACCATGATTTTCCGAACCTGACTCAAAATGCATGGATTATTTTGGCCATAATGCGTAGATTTATTGCCACATGACAGTTTTTTTTTTTTTTTTTTTGCTGTGAAACTCATACTTTTAGCCGTTTGGCACCGATATTTGCCAACAGGCACTGGTATATTCCAATACCTACAACTGTAAAACAGGGTTTATCAGATCTTTTACTATGATGAAATGTTGCATCTAATCCTGCCACTCAGAACTTACAGCATTATTATTTAAGTTTCGTTTCTTCACCAACCTCATTTTAAACATTTGAGAGCAGGTTACAATGGAAGCTAAAAAATAGAAGAAAAAATGCTGTTTTGGTTATAATTTATAATCTAGTACAAATAGGGATTACAGATATTATTATTATTTTCTATGAGAAGCAAGAGAGTGTCATCTGTAAACACATAGTGGCAGGAAATGCATTTTCATGCATGAACTCTATCAGTGAACACACAGAAATCACAATTGCGTGATGCATCAAATGAACAAAGCTCTGCCTGTTTGTGCCTCGGAGAGGCTGCAGGATCCAGTGAGTTCAGTAGAACTTTGGTTTCAACTCCTTTTACCATGTCGTAGCTCAGTCGATGAAGGCAGCGTCTAGGATGCTCTCAGACGCAGGTTCAAATCCTTGTCACAGCCCTTGTGGATTTTGTTCTATCAGTAAAGATAAGCCAAATATTTTAAATTACAAATGGTTTGAATTTCTTCAAAATTTTCCTATTCTATAAATTTGAAAATTCAAAATTATATTTGATTTTCTTGTGCATGCGATGCAGCTGGTTGAACACTCCATATCTGAAGGAGTTTCTTTAACCCTTAGATCACACAATACATACATATATATGATTTTTAACCCTTAGACCACACAATACATACATATATATGATTGTTAATAGACCACACAATACATACATATATATGATTTGACAAAAAATAATTTAAGATAAGTTTTTACAACTTGCACAAACACTTTCCAATTTTTTTGCATAATCAACTAGGCAAATGCTCCAACTTTGTCTAAATGATCACACCATAACTTGAAAAACCAGAGAATCAAAATTAATTTTAATATTGAATATTGAAAACTTCAGATTTTCAATTAAAAATAAAAAATATGAACTATCATTAATTGTTCATTTAATGTTATTATTTTCTCAGAATAGCATATGATCTTCATTTTCTTTAACCACTGCACTGCGCAAAGCGCCTTTAGGCGCTCTGAGATTTGTGCTTTTTGTTTTTTAATTAGGCTATATTTTAATACTTTTAAATGTTTTCATTACTCTTTGTGTTTTGAAATGGAAATAGTTGACTTTGGAAACATTTTGACATTAACTTTACCTGAACAATTATAAAAATAACAAAATATATCCTTGAGAATTGCACCAAGACATTTTTGCCGAAAATGGGTGAGCAGTGCAGGGGTTAAATTAGAATATAGGTTTTTAGTATAGTTTACTGTAAAAAAAAAGTCATCAATAGAACATTTGAAATATGCGGCAAATTTAGACCAAAAAAAATTATAACTCCAAATGTATAAAGTTTATGAAAAATCAATTCTGAAGGGATTGTAGAACAGACAGCAAAGCACACAATATGTGAAAATAGTGAGAATTGATTAATAACTGGAATTTTAGAAGTAACTCATAGTTGAACTCTGGTTTCAGAGATAATTGAAGTTGAAGCTATCAACAATAAATAAAGGTACTGTAGTTTTAATTCGTTAATTTAATTATATGTTTTAATAAACATTGTTTGGCATTCGTACTTGAATATGTGAAAGTTGTAGGTCAATATGTGTTGAAATGAAGTCAAGAGAAAACAACCCCTAAAAAACACAAAATATAGGAATAATTATAATATATATAATGATTTTAGGGGGGATATATTTAGGGTATCCTTTATATAAGTGAAAAAGCCCTAATATTGCCCGAAACCCGAAACGCTATGCGTACTAGTGGCTTTAGGTATTGTATGTACTACCTCTATCTTTAAATCTAACAGAATGTTTGTACTGTAACGCTGCAACTATGTTATGTACTGTCCCTTAATAAATTATTATTATTATTATTATTATTATTAACACTGCAACTATGTATGTACTGTCCCTTAATAAATTATTATTATTATTATGGTCCCTAATATGGTCCCTAATCATCAAAACAACCTAAAGAGACAAAGAAAATAGGGTTTGAAATCAGATAAAAAAATCAGGCAAATAAAAATTAAAAGTGCCAAGTTTTGCGAGTTGTGACTGATTTATTTGTTGACCAATTTCATTCTATCTTCACATAGTTATGAAAACATATACATTCTCCAGGATGTAAAGGTTAAAACAAAATCATATAACAAACAAAGAAGAAAGAATAACTAAAATCTTAAACAAAAATATTTTTGGGACATTGATGAAAGTAACATATATTAACATTGGACAATGTATTTATATGATATGTAACAAAATAGATCATATTAACATGATGAAAGTAACATATATTAACATTGGACAATGTACTTATATGATATGTAACAAAATAGATCATATTAACATAGTTATTCATTATGTTTTGTGTTTTTATGTATTACTCGGCAATGATATAAAGGCGCCAACTGCATATCCACTTTGTGGACACTTCTTACTACCATTCTTCTTCTTTGAGCATAGGACAGGTGCTTGCATTTCTTTATTACTGCATAATCCTTCAGTTCCAGTTATTAGGAGCTGTTCTTCTTATCAATAAAACGTTCTTATTTTTCAAAAATTCGTCTACAATCAATTTCTGAAAATATTTTTATGTAAGTTTCAGGACACTGAAGCCAATAAGATGGAGATTTGTTTAACATTTTTAAGTTATTTTTACATAATTAAAATATTTTTTGCTGTTATGCCCCTAAATTCACGGTAATATGCGCGGTCTAAGGGTTAATACAAACTTGGCAAATTTTCTTTAGTCAACAGGATATATAGGAGCAGTAGTATTCACCCTACAGTTGTTAATGACTCACATTATTCTATAATGACTGAAAATTAGATTGTTCACAGCTTTAATGGTGACATGGGGAAAGGGAAGGAAGCTACGCCACACAGTACAATTTCCATATGGCTATCATTGATCATTTGATTAATTGTACTTCAACACTAAAAGTCCAGATGTTGTATGTTTATATCCATGTTATAGGCATTGTAAAGAGCTGATTCAAGCAAGCAGAGTTCAAGCGTGGGTTGGACAAGTATATGAGTGGGATTGGGTGGTTATAGATAGGAGCTACCTCGTATGGGCCAATAGGCCTTTTGCAGTTACCTTTGTTCTTATGTTCTTATGTTCTTATGTTCTGGGGGGAGCCCCGTCGGCTCCCCGGAGCTTTACCGGCTGATATGCTAATGTCAGACTTTGGCATCAGTCATGTGTATGGAGTTCTAGGGCCTACCGGGGACCACGAGCCAGAACCTGGCCCCCTCAGAGAGGCAAGGGGAGCAATGGCCTATAGAAACCCCCGTGTGGTTGGAAGCATTCTATGTCTGCCATCGACCGGGTCAAGCATCCAGAAAGGTAAGCATTCCAAAACAAACCCCTATTCTGGTGAAAATTGCTACCTAAGCCGAACTAGTGAATAGAACTCTTCAACAGAAAACACGGAAACTAGTATGACGTCATACGTCACCGCGCCGCTGTCTGCGCAGCTCCCCCCTCCCCGGGAGGGGGAAGGGGGAGCCCCAGACCTCCCACGCCGGCTATCCACCCATCAGTTCTTCGGCTGATGCTATAGGCAATGGTTATGTGCTCCGGCTCCAGTGGTTGTTTCAGCACTGTACCTAGAGTGTGGTGTCTGTTTTCTAGGTGGTGCGTGAGCCGGGTGTGATTCTTCAGTACTCGGGCTGCATGCGCCTAGGGTTCCCTTCCCTAGGTGCCCTGTAAGTACTGCCCTTGGGGCTTGGGGCCACCTTCCACAAGTTCCTTGGGTCCTGCCCCTGCTTGGCCGTTTACCGCTTGGTTTTCGGCCGCTCTTTGTGTGCTCGGGTGTTCTGTCTCCCTTGTTCGCCTTAGAGTAAGGGGCAGTGTTTGCACTGGTGGGGCGCGGGGTACTGTGCAGCTTGTCTTTACCAATCATAGCGGCCGGCTCTGTTCCGCTTGGGTACGCTGTCCTCTTGCGGGGTTTTCTTTTTCTTTTGTTTATATACCTGGTGGGGGGGTCTGCCTTCGTTCTTGCCCCTTGTGTCCCTTGTGTTCTGAGTATTTCTGGTGGTACCCCCTGCTAGGTCCCCGTGAGTGTACACGTCCCGGGGGTTCAGCTCTTAGAAAGTTGTTTGGTAGCTTGGGTGCCGGTTAGCAGTACCCTGCCTGGGATTACCTGAGCGCGAGTCCTCTTAAAGTAAACGCTCGGGACCCTGGGAAACCCCTGGGGGCGCGCGGGTCCGATGGATGTGACCCCAGAGCCCCCCCCTCGCTTCCAGCGAGTTTGAGGGTTGCTCTCACCTTTTGTCTCTGGGTGACTCTCTGTTTTGCCTCCGTCTGCTGCCTGTGGGGTCGGTGACACCTTCGACCCGGTGTCCTGCGAGTTTGGTTGCTCGTTGTGGCTCGGTTACCCAGTTGTGCTAACAAAGCGGGTGCGGGCAGCAGGGGCGTTGCACTTGAGCCTTGGTGGTGGCAACGTTCTCGTGGTTTCCTCCCCGGGAGCCCCGGGGCTGCCCCGTTGTATTTCGTTTTGGGACTTGGGGGTGTTGGTTGCATCCACGCCCCCTTGTCTTTCCCCTGGTTCACCCTTCCTGCCTGCATCCGGTTCCTTACCGTCTGTAGGTTCAGGGCGGGGTGTTTGGTGGTGTTGAGACTCGGGCAGTCTCGGGGAATTCCCCTTCCGGGGTAGTGACGGGGGCATTTGGGCCTGTTCCTCCAGCCGTGTTGTATGAGTCTGCCAGTGGGCTCCCTTCCTTAGTGTTTTCACGGCTGCCCCGGTTTTCTGGTACGGCCGGGGCTTTGGGGGAACGGCTCGGCCCCGGGGCCTGTCGTGTAGGTTCCCGGGGCTGGGGAGGGGCTGACTTGGGGGGGCCTTGGCCCCGTTAGACCCCGTGGGGGGTTTTATCCCCCTCTAGGCGGGGCTTGTGGTTACGCGGAGTGGGGTCTTTCCTCCCCACTCGCCGTACGTGCTGTTGGACGTCGGCCCCTCCCCGGGCTCGGTTCCTTGGCCTTTGAGTCGGTTGGTTCCGTCCTGTGGGTGGATGTTTCCTCCCCCGCTTTTTGGGACGGTGTTTTTGTCATGTTTCCCCGTTCGTTGGGGTTCTGCGTGACTTTTGATCTCGGGTGCGCCTGCGCCTTCGTGTGCCTTCGGGACTAGTGTTGGCTTCTGTGTTCTCGAGGGTACGGGAAGGTTTTTCGCTACTTCCCGCATTATTGGAACGTCTGTCGGCTCCTAGTACTTGTCGCCCTGTTGGGCTACTTGTCGCCCTGTTGGGCTACTTGTCGCCCTGTTGGGCTACTTGTCGCCCGGTTGGGCTACTTGTCGCCCGGTTGGGCTACTTGTCGCCCGGTTGGGCTACTTGTCGCCCGTTTGGGCTACTTGTCGCCCGTTTGGGCTACTTGTCGCCCGTTTGGGTTCCCTTTTTTTTTGGGCTCTTTGCTTCTTTGGCCGGTTTTATTGTTCCTGCTTCCTCTTTTGGCTCCTTTTCTCGTGCAATAGTCCTGGCTGGCGCCTTCCCGCAGGGAGGGTGTGCGGTTCGGCCAGCGTGTTATGCGCATGCGCCGTGGAGTTTGTTTTGGTCTGGGCGATGGTTCAGTGCTGGGGTTTTGCGCCCTTTTTTGCTACAGTGCTTCGCCTCTCGTTCTTCTCCCTGGCTGCGGTATGTGCCCCTTTGCGCCAGGGGTGTCCTGGTTCCCAGTTGTGGGGAGGACACCGCGGTTTTCTGTGTCATGGGTGTGGACCGCCTCCTTCGCCTCTCCCTGTTCTCCTGCGGGTCCGGCTCTGGCGTCTTCACCTGGCGGTGCTCCCAAGTTCTTCTGGGCACGGTTGAGTCGTGTCAAGTTCGAGCCACCATTCGCCAGGTGAGTTTCTGCGGTCTGGCGTCTTTTGGCCGGGCGCTGGATGCGGCGGTGTTCATATACCTGTCTTTATTTAGGTATAATTTTGTACGACTGAGACCGTTCGCACACCAGTGACTGTCCCTTTATCACCCCTTCCTGTCCCCCTCATGTGCATGTCCAACCCATGCTGGAGTCATTCAGGGGACCCTCCTTTTTTAATGTTGTGAGGTGTGGGGGTTGTAGGGTTGGTTCTGTACTCACCTGGTGAGGCTCCTGGCTGTGCTTGCAGGATTTGAGCTCTGGCTCTTGGGTCCCGCCTATCTGGTAGAACTTGCGGGATAGTACCAGTGGAGTGCAGTGGTGCTATTGGCACTTTTGGGGAACACTGTATTACCATCAGTGGTCTGTGCTTGTTACACGACCTACTTGCGAGCATAAGCCTTCTTGCTGGTTCGTCCGTGGACTTCCAGGGCGCACTGGCCTGTTTTCGTATGGCAGTTCCGGCCCGTCCTGGTTGTGGGGGTATGTGGGCCGGTGGACTGCTCCTAGCAGCTGCCTGGTGGGCCATCCTCTGGCCGGTCTGGCCTGACCTTGGGCCGGGCTTGAGGTGTAAAAGAGCTCCCAGTACCTCATCCAGCAGGTATCGAGCGGGGTTTTCTCCGCCGTCGGTCGCCTGGTGCAGGTTTCTGGGCCTGCAGGGTTTTGTCGTGTCTCCGTTGGCCCTGTCTGGGGTCTGCCTGCTCCGTTCTCTGCCTTTGCAGAGGGGAGTTGCTATTTACATGTTGCATGTTGCAGTGGTGCCTGTTGCTGCTGCTGCTGCACGTGAGCATTGGTACCGTGTTTCACGGTGGCGTGTCCTTGTTCCTGTGTCCGGTTGTGGAGTGGCGCTTTGCTGCCGTTTTGTGCCTGGGGATTGCGTGGGGTTTTTGTCCCTGCCTGATTGTCCACCCCTGGTTGTTCTCCTGGTTTTTTTTTTTTTTTTTTTGTGCTTCTGCTCTTTCTTCCTGCCTCTTCTGCAGCAGGAATGTTCTGCGTGTGTTCTTAGGCGTTGGTCAGCCTGTGTCCTGTGATGTGCTTCTTTGTCTCGGTCTGTTGCAGTTGTTCGTGCCCCTTGGTTCGGGTCCTGTTCTGGCGGCGACCCTTCCGCCTTCTTTGGTTTTCCTAGCTTGCCCTGCCGGTTGTTGTTGTTTTTTTTTTTTGGGGGGGTTCTTGCGATGTCTCGCGTCGGACCCGTCGTTTCTGAACTCCTGGCGGGCTTGCATGCTTCGGAGTTTTTCTGTTCGGCAGACGTTCCATCTCCTTGTGCCGCCTGGGTTTCGGTGGTCGCGCCCGAGATCTTCTCGCGGCTCCGCCTTTTTCCTGGGCTCGGGGGGGGGCCTTGTCGGGGCTGCTTATGTTCTGCCTCGTGGTCTCGCCTCCGGTTGGTGGTCGGGTGGCTTCGTGGTAGGTGTCCCACCTGCGTGCTTTCTTGGCGGCAGTATGGGGTATTTTGGCGGTCCTTCCTTTTCCTGTCCCTTCTTCGGTGGGTCCTTCTTGTTGGCTTGGTTTACTCTCGGCTTGGTTTTCTAGTGGGGGTTGGGGGCCGTCGTCTTGCCACATACTGTCGCCTCTTTTCGTGCGGCGCAGGCGGAGCCGCTTCAGCTTGCTTTCGGTCTTGGTGTTGCTTCTGCACCGTTAGTCAGCTGTCTTGTGCGTCATTTCACCTCCGGCCTGTTCGTGCGCCGCTTGCACCATCCTGGTCTCTGGTCAGCGTGCTCTGTCTTCTCCTCGGTTGGTAGTGCCCCTTCGGTTCCGGTGTGTTTTTTCGTCGGCTCTTTCCTTTGGGCCTTTGCCTCTGGGGGTCGGTTCGCTGTGTTTTCTTGCTCCTTCGGTTTTAGCGTTTTGGTTGTTTGATGGCAGCAGTCTCCATCTTTTCTGGCGCGGGGTGGGGCTGCTGCATTCTGGAGGGGTCCAGGGTTTGTTGGTGCTTTGTTGGTCGGGCCGGGGGTGTGTCGTTTTTGTGTTCAGTGGCGGCCCTCTGCTGTTGTTTGCGTGCCACGGCGTTTGGGTCCGGAGCGCGTTTTGCGTTGATCCGGTTCTGTTCTTCCCGGTTCGCGGGTGATGGTGTCCCGGGTGGTCAGCCGTGTTCTTGCGGCTAAGCTGCCTGTGTTCTTCCCTCATGCCTGTGGCGTTCGTGGCTTCGCTGCTCTCGCTGCCGTCTGGGCGACGTGGCCTTGCAGTCTTTCGGGCATGGATTTTTGGTGTTCGTGCAGGGGCCTTGCTGCTCGTGGTTCTCGTGTTGTTCCCGGGATTTTCGGGGCTGTGGCGCCTTGGGTTGGCGTTTGCTGCCGGTTGTCTCGCCTCCTTGGGGGGTGCGTGGTGTCCGCCTCCCGGTTTTGTCCCTTTGACCTTCCTCTGTGGGTAGTTAGCTCCGGGGAGCCGACGGGGCTCCCCCCAGAAAACCAGCGTTGAATGTAATGAAACGCCATTTTCTGGGTGAGACCCGGAGGCTCCCCGGCAACCCTCCCTCCCTCCGGTCGGCGTTTTTCGCGTGTTTTGACATCCAGCCTCAGAACTGATGGGTGGATAGCCGGCGTGGGAGGTCTGGGGCTCCCCCTTCCCCCTCCCGGGGAGGGGGGAGCTGCGCAGACAGCGGCGCGGTGACGTATGACGTCATACTAGTTTCCGTGTTTTCTGTTGAAGAGTTCTATTCACTAGTTCGGCTTAGGTAGCAATTTTCACCAGAATAGGGGTTTGTTTTGGAATGCTTACCTTTCTGGATGCTTGACCCGGTCGATGGCAGACATAGAATGCTTCCAACCACACGGGGGTTTCTATAGGCCATTGCTCCCCTTGCCTCTCTGAGGGGGCCAGGTTCTGGCTCGTGGTCCCCGGTAGGCCCTAGAACTCCATACACATGACTGATGCCAAAGTCTGACATTAGCATATCAGCCGGTAAAGCTCCGGGGAGCCTCCGGGTCTCACCCAGAAAATGGCGTTTCATTACATTCAACGCTGGTTTTTTTTACCAGTAGTTGATTGATATTTGATAATTTTTGTCATAAACATATTTCATTATATTTTCAGCCCATAGATGCTTCAGATGATTCCTTTTGGGAGCAGTTCTGGGGTGAACATATAACGACAGTACAGGATGTGTTTGCCCTTATACCTGCGGCCGAGATCCGCTCCCTGAGAGAAGAGGCACCATCCAATCTTGCCACGCTCTGCTATAAAGCCGTAGAAAAGTTAGTTCGGGCAGCAGACACAGGATGTTCTACGCAACAGGAGCAGCAGATTGGTTAGTGTTAATTTGTTTGAAGTTCTGCACAATACCGCTCGCATAACATTGCCCTAGCAGACGAGAAAAGATACCTGATATAAAAGATCCATATTGTATTTGTTGCACAGTATTTTATTTGTATAAGATACAATACAGTATTCCCATTATTGGAACAACTTTTTATTTTGCATTGTTTTTGTATATATACTGAGTATTTGATTTTTTTCACTATGCTTTCTTTTTGAGTCGTTACTTGATAATGCTTCATTTGATTGACTTCAAACTTGAAACACTTCTGATTTTTTTTCCAGAACTTTGCTTTGGAAGTTTAAATGGCTTAAGAGGTTTTGGTCATTTATAATTTAATTGTAAGGTATAGACTTACATTTCTATGTGAATTTTGTGTAAAATATGTGTAGAAATGTGTTCTAGTATTATTTGCACTAATGAGAAATATTTATTGGAGCAAAAATAAATTAAACCCGGGGACCCGGGGAGGAGCTGAAACCAAGTCCAACTCGTACTGGGACCAGACTGAACCACAGCAGGGGGAAGAACGAGGGGTGTGTGGACTGAACCAAGGTTGAAGCGATCAACACCCCCAAGTTCGGGTCCCTATAACCATAACGGGGCAGCTTCGGGGCTTCCGGGTCAGCAACTAACCGAGGGCATTGCAACAACCAAAACCTAAAGTGCAATGCTTGCACCGCCTGTACCTGTATATCATCATCAGTAGATTGGGTAAACCGAGTCACCATCAAGCAACAAAACTCGCAGGACTCTGGGTTGAAAGTATCACCGACCCAGCAGGCAGCGTGACAGAGACAAAAACAATGAGAGTCACCCTGAGACAAGGGGACAGGACAACCCTCAAACTAGCATAAAGCGAGGGGGGGGACTCGGGGGTGACATCCATCAGACCCATGCATCCCCGTGGGGATTTCCAGGGTCCTGAGACAGAACTCATGCTCAGGGAAACCCAGGCAGGATACTGCTAACTGGCGCCCAAGTCTACTAACAACTGTCTACGTAACTGAACCCCCGGGACGTGTACACTCATGGGGACCTAGCAGGGGATTCCACCAGAACAGGGAAGTGTATGCTATATATACACCAGGGGCAACAACCAAAGGCAGACTCCCCCTATCAGGCAGAAAAAAAAAATAAAACCCCACAAGAGAACAGCATACCCAGGCGGAACAGAGCCGGCCACTATGAGAGGTGAAAACTAGCTGCACAGTACCCTGCGCCCCTACCAGTGCAAACTGTCTCTTACCCGAAGGTGAACAAGGATGCCAGAACACTGCAACACACAAAGGGTGGCCGAAAGTTGAGCAGGAAACATCCAAGCAGAGGTAGAACCCAAGGAACTTGTGGAAGGAGGCCCCAAGGGCAGTACTTACTGGGCACCTAGGGAAAGGAATCCTAGGCGCATGCAGCCCGAGTACTGAAGAATTACGCCTGGCTCGCACACCCCCAATAAGACAGCCACCACACCACACAAGCACAGAGCTGAGGACCAATTAAGGAGCCAGAGCACACGACTTCCATCTAGCATATCCGCCTTAGAACTGGGGTCTTGGGTAGCTGGCGTGAGCAATCTGGGGCTCCCTTCTTCCCTCTCCCGGGGAGGGGGGAGTTGCACAGACGGCGGCACAGCGCCGTGGTGTCGTCATGCTTGGTTTTGTTTGGGGCGTTCTGTCCACTAGTTCGGCTCTTGGTAGCAATTTCTTAACCAGAATAGGGGTTTGTTTTGAGATGCTTGCCTTTCTGGGTGCCTGACCCAGTCAGTGGCAGACAGAATGCTTCCAACCACCTGGGTGGGTTTCTACAGGCCATTGCTCCTCATGCCTCTATGAACCTAAGAACTCCATACACACTGGCTGATGCCAAAGTCTAATATTAGTAATATCAGCCTGGGTAGCTCCGGGGAGTCTCCGGATCTCACCCAGAAAATGGCATTTCATTACATTCAACACTGGTTTTATGAAAATTGGGAGTCTCCTCAGAGGTACTGTACTGTGATATATACTACAATAGTGCATTTACATTAAAACATTCAACCAAAAGACATACTTTGACAAGAAACTCGTCCATCTCATTGTTAGGGGCAATTTTGTTAAGTCATTCAGAATAAGGTTTTAAATAAACTTTGTGGATGAATGTAGAAAATAGAGAACTATTAGCTGAATATCAAATAAATGGATTTAAACTATTTCACACAGATAGATAGATATATTGGATGAATAAACTGGTTTAACAGAACAGGGAATAATGAAGCAGAAGATTTTCTAGAATTAATTGACGATTGCTTTCTTACGCAACACATTAAGGAACCAACGCGAATAATAGGAAAAAAAAAATAATATATATTTAGATTTAGTGTTAACTAACAGGGAAACACAAATTAATGACATCGAAATAGGGAGTGAGCTAGGGAACAGTGATCACAAAGAAATCAGATTTAGCATAGAATGGAATAGATCTGTAGGAGAAAATTCTGTTAAAGTGCCAGATTTTCGAAAAGCTGATTTTAATAGCCTAAGAAATTTTTTGGGTCAAATAGATTGGAAAGTCTTGGGCATGGGGGGTGGGCCGGTCTTGGAGCGAGACGTGAACCCAGCGATGGGTGACGTAAAAAGGGATTTCGATGTGGATTCAAAATATAACTTATTTAAAAATATTCTAAGCAAAGCACAGGAACGTAGTATACCATACAAATTGAATAGATCGAATACTAATGACCCAAAATGGATAACAAAGGATCTGAAGAACCTTATAGGTAGAAAGAGAGCTTGGTACAAAAGGATTAAGAATGGGGAAGTCAGTTTAGAACAAGAATTCGTACAACTGGTTAGAAATGTTAAAAAAGAGATAAGGAGGGCAAAAAGAAACTATGAAGTTCGCATAGCAGGGCAAGCAAAGACAAATCCTAAAGGTTTTTTTCAGTTATATCGAACAAAGATTAGGGAAAGGATAGGTCCATTAAAAACTGAGACAGGTCAGATAACTGATAATGACGAAGAGATGAGTAGTATTTTTAATAAATATTTTATCTCTGTATTTACTAAAGAGGAACTTAACATTATGCCTTCAGCCGAACAAGTCTATGTGGGTGGGGACGAGGACAGGTTGACTAGTCTAACAGTTACCAGGGAGGATGTTATTAAACAAGTAGTGAAACTCAAACCAAACAAATTCCCAGGGCAGGACGAAGTGTTTGACACGGGTGTGCGAGCCACTGTCTATCATTTTTAATAAGTCATTAGAGTCAGGCAGAGTGCCAGAGTCGTGGAAGGTTGCTAATGTGGTACCAATTTTTAAGAAAGGAGATAGATCACTTGCGTCAAACTATCGGCCAATTAGCCTAACGTCTATTGTGGGAAAGTTACTTGAATCGATAATTGCAAATACCATTCGTCTTCATCTTGAAAAACATAAATTAATAAATGATTCACAACATGGTTTTACAAATGGCCGTTCATGTTTAACAAATTTGCTATCATTTTATTCCAGCATAGTTGAGGCAGTTGATAGTGGTAAGGATTGTGATGTTGTGTACCTTGACTTTAGCAAAGCTTTTGATACAGTGCCACATGAAAGACTGATTAAAAAGATAGAGGCTCATGGTATTGGGGGTGCTATATTAAGTTGGATTAGGGCATGGCTATACCAAAGGAAACAGAGTTAGTATAAATGGGGTTAAGTCAGAGTGGGAAAATGTTGTAAGTGGAGTGCCTCAAGGCTCTGTCCTGGGACCTCTGTTATTTATAATATATATAAATGATTTAGATTCAGGTTTGAGCAGCAACATTTGCAAATTTGCCGATGATACAAAAATCGGTAGGGAAATAAACACGGAAAAAGACTCACTATCACTTCAAGACGATCTAAATAGGGTTTTGAAATGGTCAAAAGATTGGCAGATGCAGTTTAATGCTGATAAATGTAAAGTTTTGAGGCTAGGTAATGATGATAGAGTTACAAGATACGAGCTAGATGGTGTTGAGATTGCGAAGTCGGATTGCGAAAGGGATCTGGGAGTTATGATTAGTAAGAATTTAAAACCAAAAGGATCAATGCATGAATGTTCGTAATAAGGCAAATAGGACACTGGGATTTATTAATCGAAGCGTTAGTAACAAGACACCTGGTGTTGTTCTTCAGCTATATCTTGCTCTGGTTAGGCCCCATTTAGATTATGCAGTTCAGTTTTGGTCGCTGTACTATAGAATGGATATAAATTCACTTGAACGTGTCCAGCGTAGGATGACAAAGTTAATTCCCCAAATTAGAAACCTGTCATATGAAGAGAGATTAACAAAGCTTAAATTGCATTCACTGGAAAGGCAAAGAGTTAGGGGTGACATGATAGAGGTTTACAAGTGGATGAATGGACATAACAAAGGGGATATTAATAGGGTATTAAAAGTATCAACACAAGACAGAACACGAAACGCTACAAAACAACAAGTAGTCACTTCACTTAACTAGGGGGAGCCGGTGGCTGAGTGGACAGAACGCTGGACGTGTGATCCTGTGGTCCCGGGTTTGATCCCGGGCACCAGCGAGAAACAATGGGCAGAGTTTCTTTCACCCCTGATGCCCCTGTTACCTAGCAGTAAATAGGTACCTGGGAGTTAGTCAGCTGTCACGGGCTGCTTCCTAGGGGTGGAGCCCTGATCGAGGACCAGGCCGCGGGGACACTAAAAAAATGCCCCAAAATCATCTCAAGATAACCTCAAGATAACTATACTGGGATAACCACGCCAAGTTGGGGGTTAGTGTCATCGGGGAAACTGTCTCATTCCACAACACGGTACCAAGTGGTATTCTTGGTACCAAGTGGTACCAAGAATAAACACGAGCATCAGCTCATGTTTATTCTCATCCACCAAGCGTTCCAATGTTTTTCTTCTTTGATATCTTATTTCTTTTTGTTTCTCACTAAGTTTAGAACTGGTTTTCTACATTTACCACATATTTTCCTTGTATTTTCCAATCACAGAATGTACTTGGAATTGTTTCTATATATAGTGGTACTGTACCTTCGTTTACGATCGTAATCCGTTTCCAGAGAGGTGTCATCAACCGTTCCACACCCCCAAAAATATTAACTTATAAATGCATTTTATACTGAATAACACTCATTTTGTACTAGCTACAATACAGTATATAATCTTACCTTGAAATGAGAACTCTTGTTGGCGTATGGAAGACGAGGAGGAGGAGGGGAAGAGGAGAGATGTTAGTGTTTGGAAGGGAAGTCTCCTTCTATTATAACATCAGGCAGTGATGACATATCTGGGGTACACTCTCCTACGTTTTGCCTGCATACCACTAGGACCTGCTTGTGGCTCACTGCTTGCTTGTTCTCACTAAAACCTGTCTAGCGACACATGTTTTTCCCTATGTTGTAACACTTGTCTGAAGTGAGACATCACATTGTCATTAAAAAGGTTAACACAACGGTCTGCTACAGCTTGATTTGGGTGACACTCTTCAGGAAATCTTGGCAATTCTTCCCATACTGCACACATTTTCTTAATAAATGAGTAAGGGACATCTTCTACCCTACATCATCAACCCTCATACCATTTTCATGTTTATGATCTCTTCTTTTTTCTCTATGGTCATCCTCACATTTATTTTCTTAGGTTGAACTTTACAACTGACTTTCTTGGGATCCATGGCATGATATATAATAAGAACTTTTATGTTAAAAAAGCAAAACAAGAGGCAATGAAATTCTTTACAAAGAATTCAAGCATAGGGAGCCGGTCGGCTGAGCGGACAGCACACTGGACTTGTGAGAGGCAATGGGCAGAACCCTTGCCCCCTTGCCTAGCAGGTACCTAGAGTCATGTCAAGGCTGCTGGGGGTGGACGAGGACTGGGCCACGGGGACACTAAAAAGCCCCGAAATCATCTCAAGATACCTCAAGATGGTTGTGTCATTACTATGCGGGATAGACTTGTAAACAAAATGAGTGTGCCTCGCCCCTAGCACCACATGCTTGTTTGACCCATATGCATACGAACAGACGTTGCCTTCCAAATAAACCATCGTATACAATTCAAACTTTACGATGAATTTGAAGTCGTATACCCAAAAATTTGTACTCTATGGCAGTCGTTAACCAAGGTTCCACTGTATATAGAATAATACTTGATAATGTACATTAGAAAGGAAAGATTCTCCCATGGTAAATACACTACTGCACTTGTACAGAATTAGCTGCTACTTTGCATGAGTTTTAAAAGTAAACTTTTCCATACTATCACTGTTTAAGCACCCATTACTAAGGCCCCTTTCTTGCCATAACTTTACAATACGTTTTGCTTGATTTTTTTTTTTTTTTTTTTTTTTTGAGATATATACAAGAGTGGTTATGTTGTTACATTCTTGTACAGCCACTAGTACGCGTAGCGTTTCGGGCAGGTCCCTGGAATACGATCCCCTGCCGCGAAGAATCGTTTTTTCATCCAAGTACACATTTTACTGTTGCGTTAAACAGAGGCTACAGTTAAGGAATTGCGCCCAGTAAATCCTCCCCGGCCAGGATACGAACCCATGACATAGCGCTCGCGGAACGCCAGGCGAGTGTCTTACCACTACACCACGGAGACTGCATAATATTGATAGCTGCATAAGGTTCATTACAAATACAATAAACTAGGTAATTTGCATGGGAATTCTTTGGCATGGTGTTTGATAATTCTAGCAAGTTATCAGTGATCCATACTGTCACCTTTGCTGCTGAAAGCCAACTTAAACTGTCATATAGTGAAGCGTTGACTTCCAGCTTTAATACATGTAATTGCATTGCATATTATTTAAATCAGTAATGGATTGCCCCCTTTTTCTCCCCACAGTGTTAAACTGCATGCGAATATTGATGCGAGTAATCCCATATATCTTTGAGGATCCGGACTGGCGCGGGTTCTTCTGGTCAAGCTTACCTGCGGGAGGTGAAGAAGAAGGCTCAGGAGAGTCAATCCCACTTGCACACAGCCTCATTCATGCTTTATGTGTAAGTGAAAATGTCATTTTTGTGAAGTGACCTTTTCAATATTGTTGGTATTTTTCAGGATGGGAATGAAGCTTTTGGTATTCCATCTATCTTTGCATATTTATAGTACAGTATTTACAGTACTTGTTTCGTTTAGTTGGTTTTTGCATACCCAACCTTTTGCACGCTTCACCTTTTGCATGCTCCACCTTTTGCACGCTCCACCTTTTGCACGCTCCACCTTTTGCACGCTCTACCTTTTGCACGCTCCACCTTTTGCACGCTCCACCTTTTGCACGCTCCACCTTTTGCACGCTCCACCTTTTGCACGCTTCACCTTTTGCACGCTCCACCTTTTGCATGGTCCACGCTTTCCACATTCCCCCCTTTTTGCACGCTCCAGTTTTTGCACACTTCACCTTTTGCACGCTCTCTCCCTTTTGCACGCTCCACCTTTTCCACACTCGACCTTTTTGCACGCTCCAGCTTTTGCACGCTACCCCGTTTGCACTCTGCATGGTGGTGGCAGTTTTGCTGGTGTGTGCCATTTGTGCAAGGTGACCTCCACCTCTAGGTGCTTTTTCTTACTGTGGTGCTGGGGCAGTTGCCCCAGAGTTGGCTTCCCCAAGAGTCCCCAGGCCTCTATTGATGGGACCAGATTCTGGCCGTGGTCCCTGATAGGCTCTCGTGGTGTGGTACTCAAGGTTTGGAGGCTTCCAGGTGGGGTAGCTCGGGTAGCCACCGAGAGACCTACCAGAATAAGGGGGCTTCATTACTCCCCAAAGGCAGGTGACTTTACCCTATGTTTTTAATTATAGAATATGAACACAATAGAAACTTATGTTTGTTAATTTAATGTTAATTATGTTTTTAATTTATCATTTACAGGACCTGCTGTTTTGTCCTGACTTTACAGTGACAACAAACAAGAAATCTGGACCTGTAAGTGTTTTTTCAGCATTCTTCACAGTATTGTTTACAATATCTTCACAGTATTGTTTACAATATCTTCACAGTATTGTTTACAAGATAAACCATAGCCAGTGCCACATTGTTTAGTGAGAATATATCTGTTAAGAAGCAGTTCTAAAATTATCTGAGGCATGGAAGATAGTTATAGTACTGTAGGTTAAAATATAGTTAATGTTACTCTTTTTGGTTCAGATTTTAAATATAATATAAAATCAACATTTACTTGGCCCTGACCTTATAAAGCACATGGCTAATGTTTAAGTATTCTTTGACACTGTTGAGTGACAAGGGTGAGTTTACTTAACACTTTCGCGCCCCGGGTGTGCTAACTTTGAGGTCGTGCCCCCTGCAGTGCGGGTGAGCACGCGGCGACACCAAAATGTGTATACTCATTTCACTTTTCTCACCTTAATTCTCGTGCAACGTTGTTTGTTTTGGTATCGTTGTGTTCGCAATAGAATTCCCTGCAGGTGTATATGCATATAATGTCCAAAAGCCTGGCGTGACTCCCTGCAGCAAAGCCTAAAGTTACCCGTGAACGACCACCAATTGGCACACCCGCAACCTAATGTATACAGTACTCGTTCAGTTTGATAACATCAATTTTTGTGTTACATCTTTCATTTTGGTATCAAATTGTTCACAATATAAAGGCGCATATTTTAAAACTAGTCCCATAACAATAGAGCAATAAATAGAATTTTAACAAATATTTTAAATTTTGAACGCTCATCATTACAAAATTATTTATATCTTTCCAGTGTTCTGACATCAATTTTCATGTTACTGTACATCTTTCAATTTGGTATCAAATTGTTCACAATCTAAAGGCACACATTTTAAAACTAGTCCCATAATAATAGCACAATAAATGGAATTTTAACAAATGTTTTAAATTTTGGACACAAAAAGTATTTACAATCTTTCCAGTGTTCTGACATCAATTTTCGTGTTACATCTTTCATTTTGGTAACAAATTGTGTGCAATCTAAAGGTACTTATTTTAAAGCCACTCCCAGATTGATCAGATAAAATTTAAATTTTTAATAAATATTTTAAAATTTGGACGCCGCTCGTGTCACCTGCTCGGACACGAGAAAAATTGAGGACACCAGGGGCGTTTCGAGATTGCGAAAGTGTTAACCAGACCATGGTATACATATCCTCTTGACATGGTAAAGTGTCATGGTATACATAACCTCTGACACTGTAAAGTAATATGATAATGGTATACTTAACACCTAACGCTGTAAAGTAACATGACAATAGTAAGCCTAGTTTGGTAATTAGGTGGCAGGTTGAATGTTGATTGTTGCAGAGCATTAATTGAACCCTCATCACGGCCCTCGTGGACATTTGACATATCATGCTATTGTGATTTCTGTGTGTATTTATTGGCTATCTGTGTGTCGCCAATTGTTACTTGAAAGAGGCATAAAGAGAGTTGATCTGATTTTTGGCATCATAGTGAGCAGTATACCTTGACTGTTGTGACTAAGCTGTGATCTCTCCATCTCCCTGCCCCAGTACTATGCAGCAAAAAATAATTTAAAAGTTAGTTGTCACAGCTGGGCTCAATGTCAACAGGGCTTGGTATGCTATCTTGAGGTTATCTTGAGATGATTTCGGGGCTTTTTTTTAGTGTCCCCGCGGCCCGGTCCTCGACCAGGCCTCCACCCCCAGGAAGCAGCCCGTGACAGCTGACTAACACCCAGGTACCTATTTTACTGCTAGGTAACAGGGGCATAGGGTGAAAGAAACTCTGCCCAATGTTTCTCGCCGGCGCCTGGGATCGAACCCAGGACCACAGGATCACAAGTCCAGCGTGCTGTCCGCTCGGCCGACCGGCTCCCCTAGAAATGTATTTTAGGAATGTATTTTTAGTATTCTTAGAAAATAATACAAACGTGTGCTTTTTGTTCTTTCTCTTAGGACAAACATGAAGACCTGCAGAGCATTGACAGCTGCGAGTTTATTTGGGAGGCGGGTGTGGGCTTTGCTCACTCCCCGCCTCATGTACCGGCACATGACATGAATCGCACAGAAATCTTGAAGCTCATTCTTACCTGTTTCAGCCAAAGCATATATCAACCATCTTCAGGTATGTTGCCCTCAAGGTAATGTAATGATCAAAATTCATAGGATTGGTTTAGTTTGTGAAGTAAAAGTATTTGTAAGGTTGACGGAAGATTTGAAGAGTGGGGGGCAGGTACCACAGGTTATTGTGTTCTGGTATAGCTTGTTATTGTGTATCTTCTCAAATTTCTAGCATTTGCCCTTGTCCAGTGGTATAAACCTTCTGAAATCTTTTGTTTAGCTGCAAATTATATTTAATTTCTCATGAGTAGTTCCCAATCATTTTTTAGAGAAATAAATTTGCCTTTTCCCAACAGTGGTTTCCTTCTGTGGCTGCTAAATATTTTAGGCCTTTCGTTTGCAGTATGTTTCGCTACAACATACTGCAAAAGGCTTTTGTTTTGACTTGGTCCCTTCCCTTCATGAGCTGGGGCTCTGCTTGAGCTGGTCAGGATAGACCTTTGTTGGCGCCTGATTTTTGGATCTTGGCCCAGCTCTTTTTATTGCTGGTCAGTCATTTTTAGTACATTGTAGATTGGTGCTTCTTCTCAGAAATTATCACCGTCCATTTTGGAGTCTTCTCTTTGACAGTGCTGTCTGGGAATATCTGGGCCATTTTCTGGTCCCACAATTCGTGGGCTTTCTGAGTGCTTCCCTCCCCAAGTCTCTGGTAATCTCATCCCCCCCCCCCCTCTTTAGTTTAAAAAATTAGGTTAGGAGTCTTCCCAGAGCTCTGTGTGGTTATCGCAACTTAGTTGGACCTTGGTGTGGCCGTGTTCACCACCTATCATTGGTCCCCAAGCAGGACTTGATAGACCTATGGTACATTCTTGACCTCTCAGGATTGAACAGCTTCATTCCCTGTCTCTCGATATGGTGTTGGCCTTTCTCTCCTCCCCTCTGTTCTAAGTTGCTCCTTTGGTCTGTGATAAGTTCTTAAGGTTCTCACTTCACTTCTTGGCCCTTACTTCAGGTTTTCGGGTAGAGAGCTTGATGCTCTTCTCCGGAAGTGTGGGTTTTGCTCTTTTGGCCCTAGTGGGATGTTTTCTTGTATGCAACCTTCTCTTCTCCGGAAGTGTGGGTTTTGCTCTTTTGGCCCTAGTGGGATGTTTTCTTGTATGCAACCTTCTCTTCTCCGGAAGTGTGGGTTTTGCTCTTTTGGCCCTAGTGGGATGTTTTCTTGTATGCAACCTTCTCCTTTTCTGCTGAGATAGCTGGCTTTTGGCGGTCCAAAAGTCCAGTACATACCAGAATGGCGTCTTTTCTCTATCTTCTATTGTGCGGTTTGGTCATCATTGTATTAATACCCTGTTCCCTGAGGAGGAAGAAGTCGGGGGTTGTTACCATACTGTATTCCGGTTTGCACTAGTGTGTTAAGGGCTCCTAAGGCTGATGTGACTTATGTGATCTTGAGATCTTGAGATGATTTCGGGGCTTTAGTGTCCCCGCGGCCCGGTCCTGGACCAGGCCTCCACCCCCAGGAAGCAGCCCGTGACAGCTGACTAACACCCAGGTACCTATTTTACTGCTAGGTAACAGGGGCATAGGGTGAAAGAAACTCTGCCCAATGTTTCTCGCCGGCACCTGGGATCGAACCCAGGACCACAGGATCACAAGTCCAGCATGCTGTCCGCTCGGCCGACCGGCTCCCTTGTGGCTATGCTCCGACCGGCTCCGGCTATGTGTGTGGAACTATTTAAACAAGTTAGCTACAGGGAGCCATCGAGGTTCAAGCAGAAAATTGCATTTCATTACATTGAACACTGGCTTTTGTACTTGTGTTCTTGTCTTGTTTCATTACATTGAACACTGGCTTTTGTACTTGTGTTCTTGTCCTGTTTCATTACATTGAACACTGGCTTTTGTACTTGTGTTCTTGTCTTGTTTCATTACATTGAACACTGGCTTTTGTACTTGTGTTCTTGTCCTGTTTCATTACATTGAACACTGGCTTTTGTACTTGTGTTCTTTTCCTGTTTCATTACATTGAACACTGGCTTTTGTACTTGTGTTCTTGTCCTGTTTCATTACATTGAACACTGGCTTTTGTACTTGTGTTCTTGTCCTGTTTCATTACATTGAACACTGGCTTTTGTACTTGTGTTCTTGTCCTGTTTCATTACATTGAACACTGGCTTTTGTACTGTACTTGTGTTCTTGTCTTGTATTCTCTGCATTTTTCCATACCTTTAGATAGAGAAAGAAATGATGTGGATGAAATTAGACTGAAAACATATATTTATGCTATATTTGACAAGGGAGAATAGATACTCAGTGCTTAATCATTTTCATTTTGGCAGATACGTCAGATGCTCCAAATCGGTGGATAGCAGTGTTTACCTCGGCTGACAATCGTCACGCACTGCCATTGTTTACTTCACTTCTCAATGTGGTGTGTGGCTATAACCCTGTTGGGTTTGGAGTGCCATACAATCACCTTCTCTTCTCAGATTCAAGAGAACCATTGGTGGAAGTAGCTCTACAGATTCTAATTACTACACTAGATCATGACATCACAGCAGCTTTATCAGAGTTGGAAGAGGTTGGTTGGCATCTTGCTATGTACTCTATATGCAAACAGAATTTATGTTCCAATAAGATGATAAAGACAATGTTTTCTTCATTTTCGAATGAGATATTTAATATCAATAAATTTTGTTCTGGGTGGACACTGTATTCCTTCCCTCTGCTTACATCTGCAGGATGTGTAGTACAGTTGAAAGTGGCAGGCTTCCGGCGACAATCTCAACGTACCAGAGATATGTGTGATCTAATCTTGTCGCCACCTTATTTCTTGCCTCATAGAGGGACAAGTTGGTGTGAAATAGTACTTGTGACACACTTTGCTTCTGGTAAGCAGAGATTGTCACGTGACACACTTTGCTTCTGGTAAGCCGAGAGTGTCACAAAGGCTGGCATGTCAAACATGGCCTAATGGGGCCAGTGTCATAAACAAGAGAAGCTACAGTATTGAGCTTCCACCCAGAAAAAGGCTAAAAATAATTTGTAAATAGGATGATCATTTTGTTAATGTTGATGTGTTCATCAGAATATGTGGGGGAGATATCGGAGCACTGGTTTGTGTTGATCATTATTCTTATGCTAGCATGTACAATAGTGATTACTGTGTGGCAAAAATAATTTTGGTCGCCAAGTGTTTGCAGCAGACAGTAGCGGCTGGCAGCTGTTGTAGATTTACCGTTTACTCCACAATTCTTTTCTTTAATTTAACTGTAATAAATTATTCTCTCTTACAGTCTGCAGTGCCAGACAACCTCTTCATCAACTATTTGAGTCGCATCCACCGAGAAGAAGATTTCTCCTTCGTGCTTCGAGGTTTTACTCGATTGCTGAATAATCCACTCCAGCAAACATATCTTCCACATTCTGCCAAAAAAGTCAATTTTCACCAAGAGTTAATGGTTTTCTTTTGGAAGTTTTGTGATTATAACAAGGTTTGTACACCAAAGAAAGTTTTCCATTTTGAAATTGTTATTTAAAATAGGACTTTTCTGGGCTAAAGCTTCTCAGATGCTCCCTGATCTAGACTCATTATGGTCAGCCCAGGACTCTCATCACTCGCTGGGATCTCTATCCTCACCTGCTAGGATCTCATTAATCTTACGCTGAGATCTCTCTATTCTGACCTGCTAGGATTTCATTCACCTCACTCGCTGGGATATCTCTAATCTCGCCCACTAAGATTTCGTTAACCTTGTCCCCTACCATGTCAAGGATCTTTACAAAATACCTTTTCAAGAAAATTAAGGGAGGGAGACGATGGCAAGTCTAACTGAAGCCAAGACTGAGGAACCAACTTATTGTAATGCAGAGAGCAATTCTCTCAGCACCTTCCGCACGTGATAATAAGAAACACAAGGAAATATGTATACTTGTTAAGAAACTAGGTTATCCCTAGTTTCTGGTTGATCAGTCCGGCAACCAGGAGGCCTGGTCGACGACCGGGCCGCGGGGACGCTAAGCCCCGGAAGCACCTCAAGGTAAGGTATCCCTACCACCACAAGGTGGAGGCACCCACTACTGCAACAGTGTTGACAGAGTCAGCTGTCCCTACTTGAAGCCCCAATCACCCAAGCAAGCTTGTGAAAGGTGCTAAAAGGAACGGAATGGGAGTATGTAAGGGTTTGGCTTAGAAAGGAATGTTTCACTACACTTTATGTGTGGTGAAACTTGTCTCTACATTTCTGAGCTGAAGCACCTGAGATGCTTCATGACCCAGCTCCTCAGGTTAAAAATGCTACAAAAGTAGTCCAAAGTAATTGGAAAAGGCATGTATTTAAGCCGAAGACATGGAGAACAGGGACCATATGGATTATAAGATACGGGAAGTAGGGATCACCGGTACTCGGCCAACCACCATCAGTATCAGATGGAGAACAAGCTACCTAATGCTACGCAGTAATGCCTTATTTTTGAAGATTTGTTTCTGCTCTGTTTTGTAATATAGTGAGCAGTTATTCTAGTGGCATGTTGAAAATACTCTCCCGTGTCTCCTAAGATATATACTGTATACAAAGGCGTTGTCACAGTTGTTACTTTGTAAGTACAGTGGAACCTCTGTATTTGTCAGGCTCGATATTTGTCACATTTTAATGACAAAAAACAATACTTCCACATTAGTCAGCATTTTCCATACTTGTCACCCACTACCCGGTACAGGATCATCATGCGGTCATCTGTGTCACCCAGTCGTTGAGCACGCATCTTCTGCTAATTTCTTTTAGAAATTTTTGTTCGTCTTGCAGTTCTTTGCAATTATCTTTGTAAAAAGAAATGACCGTGGCCCTAACAAGGCATAGTGAAGAAACACAACCAAAAAAGGAAAGCTGTGAGAACAACAACTAAGTTGAAAAACAACTTATTGCCAAATGAACAAATCCACAAGAGCTGTGATGAGGATTCGAACCTGCGTCCGGGAGCATCCCAGACACTGCCTTAATCGACTGAGCTTAATCGACGATTGTCTGGGATGCTCCCGGACGTAGGTTCGAATCCTCGTCACGGCCCTTGTGGATTTGTTCATCTGATGCATCACGTTAGTGTGATCTCTGTGTGTGAACTTATTGCCAAGTTTGAAAGTGGGAAAAGTGTTTCCATATTCGTCAGTTTGTATATTCATCAGGGACGGATTAATGATGAGTATGGAGGTTCCACTGTACATTATTTGTATATTTTATAAAGCCACTAATTATGTGCAGTATTTTGGTCATTTGGAAGGTTCTTTGACATGGTGGGATGAAGATCAGTGACAATCTGGCAGCTTTGATGTGTGCTGGCTTGACTCAAAGCTGTTGGCCTGGGAGGCATCTGAGGTGGCCTTGCTCAGAAAGAAAAGTTTTAAGAGTAATTTTCTGATTATTATATGAAGTTGTCCAAATAATAATAAGAGGGTTATTTAATGTGTGCGGCTACAATGGGCTTGTTTCTGCCAAGTTGAAACAGATACGGTATCTCATAATTTACACAGTAAATATTAGGTCAGGTTTAAAACCTGCATAATATTACTACAACAATGCAACGAGAGATATGGTAGGAAGTGTAAAATATATCGGTTAAATAATCGGGATAAATAGTTAAATAAACTTTCGTGGAAGCATTATGAAGATATCCACTGTATTAGACATTGACCAATGTCTAATGGCTTATTCCTTTTTTACTTTTTTGCTTTTCCAGAAATTCTTGTTCTACGTTTTAAAGAGCAGTGATGTGTTGGACATCCTGGTCCCTATTCTGTTCCACCTCAATGATGCTCGTGCAGACCAATGTGAGTTTATTACTAAATTTGGCAGTTCGTAGTTAATTCTGTTTATACAGTGTGCGAGTTTAGAGTGAGATGTAATGGGAATCTGCAGAGATCAAATAAAAAGTTGGCAAATAAATTGAAAAGTTGAAATATTAGTGTGATTTGTATATGTGGAGTGAATGGGGTGATACAGGCCTATAAACTTGTATCACCCTATTTACAAGTCATAAACAACAAACTCAACAAAAATCATACCATCTTACGAGGTGACCTCAACAATGACATTTATCAACAAAATAGCCCTCTAAGTGGATTACTGCCTGAACAGAATGAACTCCTGTATGCTGATTCCCAAAATCAACAGACCCACCCTAATCTTTCAAACATCTGCTACAACCTAGGACCACATTTGGACTAACATAACACCTTTCCCTTGTCTCTGGTATAATTACTGACACAACTACCAGCCACTATCCTACCTTCCTCATATCAAACAAAGACATAACACCATTGGATACCAAGAAATTAACCTTGAGACTACACAGCAAAACAGATATAGGCATTCTCATAAATGCACTTCACAATATAAACTGGGAATCTGAATTCTTGAATACACTGGACGTCAATTCATTATCTAACATCCTCATCAAAACTTTTTTTTTCCTCTACAACACACGCTGTCCTCTCTTTACCAAGCAAGTAACTGCCCAAGGATTAAACGACCCCCCTGGCTCACAAACGATATACAGTACTTAAAGCAATTAATAAGAAACAAGAATATGAAAAGAAACATGGGATTGGCCTAATGAACAAATCCACAAGGGCCGTGACGAGGATTCGAACCTGTGTCCGGGAGCATCCCAGACACTGCCTTAATCGACTGAGCTACGACAGGGTTAAAAGGGTTGAAACCGAAGTTCTACTGAACTTCCTAGCCTAGTTACAAAAGAACCAGTTAAAAGATAATCATCACTGCTTACCAGTATAATAAGACCTAAACTCTCCTTTTATGAGATTAAATTCAAAGAAGCAAAATGGTACATGAAAAGCACATGGAAAGCCATCTCTAACTTCATAGGATCTAAACAACAATTGCATAAAAAAAAGATAAAATTCTCCAAGGATGGTGACACACTTGCAACAGACTTAGAAACAGAAAACAAATTTAACAGCTGCTTCTAATCAACTGGTTACCTTGAGGTGCTTCCGGGGCTTAGCGTCCCCCCGGGCCCGTTCGTCGACCAGACCTCCTGGTTGCCGGACTGATCAACCAGGCTGTTGGACGCGGCTGCTCGCAGCCTGACGTACGAGTCACAGCCTGGTTGATCAGGTATCAGGTGATCAGGTGCCAGAAAAATTGCCATAAAAATCCCAGAGACCCATGTTACTACATTTCTCACTAGCAGATATCCTAACTATCTTCTCCTTTTACCAGTCAGCCCGACAGACATTATATCTATAATTCACTTACTGGTACTATTAAACGAAAGCTGGGAACATTAATGAAAATCATCTATGGAGTATTAAGGGGGTCCTGGTAACCTTGTTACCTTGAGGTTACATTGAGATGATTTCGGGGCTTTAGTGTCCCCGCGGCCCGGTCCTCGACCAGGCCTCCACCCCCAGGAAGCAGCCCGTGACAGCTGACTAACACCCAGGTACCTATTTTACTGCTAGGTAACAGGGGCATAGGGTGAAAGAAACTCTGCCCATTGTTTCTCGCCGGCGCCCGGGATCGAACCCGGGACCACAGGATCACAAGTCCAGTGTGCTGTCCGCTTGGCTCTTACTATGTAAAATTCAACATATTAAGTCCCAGCTAGTTTGGCTTCTATTCACAAGAGTACCAATGATGCTATTATTAGTCTTATATAATCTACACAGCCCTTGACAAAAATGAGTTCCCAGTTGGCTTCTTCATTGACCTGAATAAGGTCTTTTGATACTGTAAACCATAGCTACCTCATACTTTAATTTTATCATTATGGAGTCCGAGGCCTTGCTCTTAACTATATTCGATCTTAATGACAGACATTAACATGTAGCCATCAAAAACATAACCTTTTATCTAAGTAATAGTAATGACTTCTGACAGACATTGTAACATAGGATAATAACCCCTCACTTGTATATTCATGAAATTTATGTAAAGAATTTACACCAAATACATAAATTCTAATTTATGTATTTGTATGGGTGTAAATTCCTTACATAAATTTCACAAATACACAAATTTGGGTTTTCATTCTAAATTAATTTAACTGATGGAGTGCCACAGGGTAGCATCTTAAGGCCTCTCCTATTTCTTATATACATTAATGATTTGCTAAATGTCCCAACATTCTTAAACCTATACTATTTGCTGACAATACTACCTTTATCTATACAGACCCCAACCCACACACACTAAATAATATTGTAAATAACAAATTAAAAAATTCCACTCATGGATGTTAACCAATAAACTCGTTCTAACTATAGCAAAAACTACTACACTTTATTTGAAAGTAAATCATCAAACAAAATTCCCCTTCAGATAGACAATGTGAGCAAGGTAAGGGTGTCAGTGCAGTCTCAGCCACATTTTTCCATCTTATTTTTTGTGGTCCAACCACTTTGAGAGATCAGTAGAGCGATGCCCTCGATAATCCAAGTGGTTGGGCACCGTTACTGCAACCCTTCCTCATATCTCGTCTCCATGCCCCTCACATCCCTTCTTAGTGTTATATAGTTATACTGGATTGGTGCTTCATCATGATAATGTTATTTTCTTCCGAGTTTAATGTATAGTGTTATTATTATAACGAGAAAAGTTTCATTAAATAGTGTCATTGCAGCAAGAGTGGGACTGATGCACATAGGCGTGTTTATTCTGTTGCTGCTGAGCGGCGAACGAAACTTCGGCGTCCGTCTGAACAAACCGTACACAGCTTCGGTACCCATGGACATTCCAGTATTCACAGGTTTGTACCGATCTTTTGGCATTTGACATAGATGCCTCGATGACTAAACTGCAACTGTTGTGTAATACTTTGAAGCCCTTGTATGAATAAGCTAGTTAAATATTTCTGCGTCGGTGTGTGTGCATTAAAACTAATGAAAACCTGTTAAAAGAGAGATAGAGAGAGTGAGAGAGTGAATGTGTGTGTAATTACCTAAGTGTAGTTATAGGATGAGAGCTACGCTCGTGGTGTCCCGTCTACCCAGCACTCTGTCATATAACACTTTGAAACTACTGACGGTCTTGGCCTCCACCACCTTCTCACTTAACTTGTTCCAACCGTCTACAACTCTGTTTGCGAAAGTGAATTTCCTTATATCTCTTCGGCATCTTTGTTCATTTAGTTTTAATCTATGACCTCTTGTCCTTGAAGTTCCTGGTCTCGGGAAATCTTCCCTATCGATTTTATCAATTCCTATTACTATTTTGTATGTAGTGATCATATTACCTCTTTTTCTTCTATCTTCTAGTTTTGGCATATTTAATGCCTCTCACCTCTCCTCGTAGCTCTTGCCCTTCAGTTCTGGAAGCCACTTAGTAGCATGTCTTTGCACCTTTTACAGTTTGTTGATGTGCTTCTTAAGATATGGGCACCACACAACCGCTGCATATTCTAGCTTTGGCCTAACAAAAGTCGTGAACAATTTCTATAGCATTTTGCCATCAATGTATTTAGAAGCAATTCTGAAGTTAGAAAGTGTGGCATAGGCTCCTCGCACAACGTTCTTTATGTGGTCCTCAGGTGATAGTTTTCTATCTAGAACCACCCCCTAGATCTCTTTCTTTATCAGAATTCTTTAAAGATTTCTCACATAATTTATAGGTTGTGTGGGGTCTATGTTCTATTCCACATTCCATAACATTGCATTTATTTACATTAAATTCCATTTGCCAAGTGATGCTCCATATACTTATTTTGTCCAGGTCTTCTTGAAGGGCATGACAATCATCTAAATTTTTTATCCTTCCTATTATCTTAGCATCATCAGCAAACAAACGTGTGTGTATGGGTTTTGTTTGTTAGTGCTTGTAATGAATGTGGTTAGGTTAGGTTAGTAGTGGCTAGGTTAGGTTATTGTGGCTTGCTGGTAACTAGTATGCTAGTTGTTAGCTTGCGGGTAACTGGTATGCTAGTTGTTAGATTGATAACTGGTATGGTAGTTGTTAGCTTGCTGGTAACTGGTATGCTAGTTGTTAGATTGATAACTGGTATGGTAGTTGTTAGCTTGCTGGTAACTGGTATGCTAGTTGTTAGATTGATAACTGGTATGGTAGTTGTTAGCTTGCTGGTAACTGGTATGCTAGTTGTTAGATTGATAACTGGTATGCTAGTTGTTAGCTTGCTGGTAACTGGTATGCTAGTTGTTAGATTGATAACTGATATGGTAGTTGTTAGCTTGCTGGTAACTGGTATGCTAGTTGTTAGATTGATAACTGATATGCTAGTTGTTAGCTTGCTGGTAACTGGTATGCTAGTTGTTAGATTGATAACTGGTATGGTAGTTGTTAGCTTGCTAGAAACTAATATACTCATTATTAGAACACTAGTCACTTTGCTAGTCACTAGCACTTGTCATTAGCATTCTAGTCAATAGTATATTTGTAATTAACTTTTTAATTAATAGCATATCTGTAATTAGCTCTTTGGTCAATAGCATATTTGTTGTTAGCTCATTAGGTTAATTATTAAAATGCTAGTCAGTACAATACTAGCAATTGCTATGCTTGCTGTGAACATGCTCATTATTACACATGATTTAGCGGAGTTTGTTTATAAAGATGTGTCAACCAGATGTGGGAGCCGGTCGGCCGAGCGGACAGCACACTGGACTTGTGATCCTGTGGTTCCGGGTTCGCTCCCGGGCGCCGGCGAGAAACAATGGGCAGAGTTTCTTTCACCCTATGCCCCTGTTACCTAGCAGTAAATAGGTACCTGGGTGTTAGTCAGCTGTCACGGGCTGCTTCCTGGGGGGTGGAGGCCTGGTCGAGGACCGGGCCGCGGGGACACTAAAGCCCCGAAATCATCTCAAGATAACCTCAAGATAACCCTCCCTCACAGGTACGCATGCGGACCTCATGATCATTGTGTTCCATAAGATCATCACCACGGGCCACCAGCGTCTCCAGCCGCTCTTTGATTGTCTCCTCACCATCCTTGTTAATGGTAAGTACCCGACAGCTCTACCTGTTTGTGTGTTGCGTCAGGAGTGTGGGGACATTCTGTTGATTGACGGGACCAAAGAGCCAGAGCTCAACCCCCGCGAGCACAATTAGGCGAGTACATAGTCGTGTAATTAGATGAGTCTTTGTTTATGCTTGTTAAGTCTTGAAACATATTTCACCAGTTGTCTTGTATTTTTATTTTCTGATAATGAATTTAGCACTCCCTATCCCTGTTTTTCTTTATTGATTATTATGTATGAACAAAAACTCTAGATTTAAGCGTTTACATGCAGCTTGGTTTTAATGAATTTATAGAAAAGGCTTTGTTGGTTCGTGTTTCACGCACTCAGCATTCGCGGTTTTATGCTCGGTTGGATGCCCCAGAGTTAAGCCTATCTTGTTTTTAGGGACCCATAATTGGTGGTGTTGGTGAATTCTATTTTGGTTCCATCCATACCTCCTCATCTTTCCCTTTAAGGTGTAGTGCACCTGACTTCTGTTCCTCCACCCCTTTCTTACGGCTCTGAAAACTCTGAGGGTCTCAGACCTGTCTATAAAACTTCACTGACTTTCTGGATGCTTTCCTAGTGAAAAGGAATGGTGGAATGTCACATACTCTCTGTGCCTTTGTGTGTGGGATCAGGTTCTGGATCTGCTCACCATAAGGCCACAGCAGTCTCCGTGGTGTAGTGGTAAGACACTCGCCTGGCGTTCCGCGAGCGCTATATCATGGGTTCGTATCCTGGCCGGGGAGGATTTACTGGGCGCAAATCCTTAACTGTAGCCTCTGTTTAACGCAACAGTAAAATGTGTACTTGGATGAAAAAACGGTTCTTCGCGGCAGGGGATCGTATTCCAGGGACCATAGGATTAAGGACTTGCCCGAAATGCTACGCGTACTAGTGGCTGTACAAGAATGTAACAACTCTTGTATATATCTCAAAAAAAAAAAAAAAAAAAAAGTAACTCCCGCAACTGATGTAACCTGTAGCATGGAGCAATCTTGGCGAGATAGCTACGGGGAGCTACCGGGGCTAGGTTTTGTAATAATTTATTAATTGTTCATAATCTTGATTTGGCATACTGCAACCCCTTTCCCGAGGCATGTACTCTGCCTAAAAAAAAGTGCTGTCCTGCATTCCAGTTTCACCTTACATCAAGACCATGTCTATGGTGGCCGCCAACAAGCTTCTTCATCTCCTGGAGGCGTTCTCCACTCCATGGTTCCTTTTCTCTGCACCACATCACCACCACCTTGTATTCTTCCTCCTGGAAACATTCAATAATATCATCCAGTATCAGTTTGATGGTAAGTAGACTTCCAGTTTGTCTTCAAATTGTATGTAACAATTTTATAAATTTGTTCATAATATAGTTGAGTTGGTAGAGTAGGGTTTTTTTATTTATATATATATATATATATATATATATATATATATATATATATATATATATATATATATATATATATATAATATTTATTATTACGAGGGGGTGGGCTGAAGCTCCACTAGCAAGGGAGCTGCTAGGGGCTCAGGAGACAGTACTCAGTCTCTCTGACTCACGTGACTCACCAGAGTCACTTAGTCCCACAGGAGAGGACCGCGTATTACTCACCACCGCAGGTCTTCGCTCCCACCACAGAGGTGCTACTGATTCACCCTGGGAGCCCCTTCAGTCAACCACGGGAAAACTGCCGTTAGTAATTCCGGCCTAGACTCACGGAGGAGTGAAGGAAGACTCAGGCTTACGTCTAACAACACTTCCCCTGAGTCTTGCCCGCCAAACAAAAAGTGGCAGGAATTTCTCTCCCACCTACGTTTCTCTATTTTAAACGAGGTCGCCAGGTGGCCAGGTTATATCTGTAAGACTAGATTCCATTCGGCTTGTACAGGAGTGAGTAACACTACGGCACTGAGAGATGGCCACTTGCTCTGGGTGTGTAAAAATGACCTGCCAGCTTGGAATATCCTAAAAAACCTTCTAGATAACATGACGCATGAACGGAAAACATCATTCATTGGAAGCCTACCAGCCATCCAGAAGGAGTGGGAAAGGAACAACAATTCTAATATACAAGGGGCGGAGGCTATAGTCAGGGATGAAACTGAGGCTGAAACTCAGGAAGTTGCAAACTCTAACTCAGTAGGCCTGGATGTAGATGACATTAAACTAGAAAGTGTACCTGACAGCTCGATAGGTACAGACACCACGACGGTTCTCGATAGAGCAATTCAGAACAGAAGGACAGACTTATGCAAATTTTATGCAAAGGGCATATGCAGACATAGATATGCTGGTAATAAGAAAGGATTAGAATGCAGTTACCAACATCCCAAAAAATGTTTAAATATGCTTAGGAAAGGTGAGTGTCGATTTGGATCAATATGTAGGTTTTTCCATCCTGACATGTGCCAAACCTCACTGGAGGACAGAAAATGCTATGACCTTAGCTGCCCACACTTTCACGTGAAAGGCACGGAACGCTACATAAAGAGTGGCAAGCAGGATAATGAATTTGGAGGAAACTCTATAAATTTTTTATACCAGACCGGCAGAGAATTCAAAAGGAGCAGCATGGAGAGTGTATGGAACTGGATGCCAGATCCACTGGCATTCCAGAATTACAGATACAATTATCCACCGAAAGGGAACTACAACTACGACAGAAAACTGCCCTACAACAATCAGTACTGGTCAGAACAAACTCATTATGTCCACGATTAATGGACGTGCCGAAAAAGTCTCCCATTCAAACTATCACTAATAGAGTAACCTCATTCATCTTTGCCAACATACAAGGACTGAAAACAAGAACAAACAACAAAGTACAGTTCATAAATGGCCTCCTCACGGAGTCAAATGCAGTATTTGGAGCTTTCACAGAAACCCATGCAGGGGAATTGTTGGACAGTGAGATCTGGATTCCAGGATATAACCTATACAGGTGTGATAGGAAAATTAGGTCACATGGAGGAGTGGGTCTGTATATTAGGGAAGACCTTGTATGCTTGGAGCTCCTAAACGTTACAAATGAGGTGGTAGAGGTACTGGGATTAAAAGTAGAGAAAATAAATTTAGTGATTATACTAATATACAAACCGCCAGATGCAACGGCTGAGGAATTCACAGAACAGATAAGCAAAATAGAGAATAGCCTTGATAATTTGGAGAACCCGATACCTGATATTATTTTCCTAGGTGACTTCAACTTGCCTAGTCTCAGGTGGAAAATAGCAAACAATAATATTATACCAGGAAATCTATCAGGACCTAACCAACCACAGATTAGAGAACTACTTAGATTCTGTGACAAATTTTCACTCAATCAGCAGATATCGGAGCCAACGAGAAATGAAAATATTCTAGATCTGGTCTTTACGAACAATGAAGACATTATCAGAGACATTACGATATCAGATACCACATACTCAGATCACAAACTCATTGAAGTGCAAACGACCATCAATACTCAGAATAGACCTAAAACGTTGATAAAGCGAGAGGGGCTATTCAGTAAATTCAATTTTAATAATAAAAGGATAGACTGGGAGATAATAAACAGGGAACTTACAAACATTCCATGGGGAACTGTTCTAAATAATACAAGTCCTACAGAAGGAATAGGAAAACTTACTTCAGAAGCGTATCAAGTCTGTCTGAAACATGTTCCTTTGAGGAAAGCCAGAAAGAGATCTAACGTAGAAAGAGAACGCAGACGACACTATAAACGCAGGAAAAAAATAACGGAACTGCTTATGCAGACACGAATTTCCCGTCAAAGAAGGAATAATTTAAATAGGGAGATTGAAGAAATCGAGCGGAAATTGAAACACTCATATGAAACTGAAGAAAGGCAGTTAGAACAGAAAGCAATTCAGGAAATAAAGAAAAATCCAAAATATTTCTTCTCATATGCGAAATCAAAAGCAAAAACCACTGCCAGTATTGGACCTATTCGTACAAGTGAAGGTTCATACACGGAGGATGACAAAGAAATTAGTGAAATCCTAAAAAAGCAGTATGAGGACATGTTTAGCACTCCAATAAACAACATGAAGGTGGAAGATCCAGACATTTTCTTTATGCTGGATATTCAAACCCCGGTAAATATAACTGATATAAATACGAGCGCACTAAATTTTGAAAAAGAAATTGAAAACATGCCCATGCACTCGGCCCCAGGTCCAGACTCATGGAATTCAATATTTATAAAGAAATGCAAAGTGCCGGTAGCACAGGCACTCAGTATAGTGTGGAGGAAGAGCTTGGACACGGGGGAGATACCAGATGCACTTAAAGTAGCAGACATAACCCCTCTACACAAGGGAGGGAGCAAAGCATTGGCAAAAAATTATAGACCAGTTGCACTAACATCGCACATCATAAAAGTATTTGAGAGAGTGATTAGGAGTCAGGTCACCAATTTCATGGAGACCAATGACCTTCATAACCCAGGCCAACATGGATTTCGAGCGGGAAGATCGTGCCTCTCACAGCTACTTGAGCACTACGACAAAGTCACTGAGGCATTAGAAGAGAAACAGAATGCTGATGTGATATACACGGACTTCGCAAAGGCCTTGGATAAATGTGACCATGGCGTGATAGCACACAAAATGAAGTCAATGGGAATAACCGGTAAAGTAGGACGCTGGATACTCAGTTTTCTGTCAAACAGGACTCAGCGAGTAACTGTCAACCATATAAAATCTAGTCCAAGTGCAGTGAAAAGCTCTGTACCTCAGGGTACAGTCCTTGCACCACTGCTTTTCCTTATTCTCATATCAGATATAGACAAAAATACAAGTCATAGCTTCGTATCATCCTTTGCAGATGACACAAAAATCAGTATGAAAATTACCTCGGCTGAGGACATTGAAAAACTTCAAGCTGATATTAATAAAGTTTTCGACTGGGCATCAGAAAATAACATGATGTTTAACAGTGATAAATTCCAGGTACTCAGGTACGGTAAAAATGAGGACCTTAAACATAATACAGAGTACAAAACACAATCAAATGTACCCATAGTAGGAAAACAGCATGTAAAGGATTTGGGAATAATAATGTCGGACGACCTAACGTTTAAGGAGCATAACCAAGCAATTATTGCGACAGCCAGAAAAATGATAGGATGGATTACGAGAACTTTCAAATCCAGGGATCCCATCACAATGGTTGTACTCTTCAAGGCACTTGTGCTGTCCCGTCTTGAGTACTGCTCAGTACTCACTTCCCCCTTCAAAGCAGGAGAGATTGCTGAAATAGAGGGAATACAGAGAACATATACGGCACGCATAGACGCAATAAAGCACCTAAATTATTGGGATCGTCTCAAAGCCCTCCAAATGTACTCACTAGAAAGAAGACGAGAGAGATATCAAATAATATACACCTGGAAGATACTGGAGGGCCAAGTACCAAATCTACACAGTAAAATAACAACGTACTGGAGTGAACGACATGGAAGAAAATGTAGAATAGAACCAGTGAAGAGCAGAGGTGCCATAGGCACAATCAGAGAACACTGTATAAACATCAGAGGTCCGCGGTTGTTCAACGTCCTCCCAGCAAGCATAAGAAATATTGCTGGAACAACCGTGGACATTTTCAAGAGGAAACTAGATTTATTCCTCCAAGGAGTGCCGGACCAACCGGGCTGTGGTGGGTATGTGGGCCTGCGGGCCGCTCCAAGCAACAGCCTGGTGGACCAAACTCTCACAAGTCGAGCCTGGCCTCGGGCCGGGCTTGGGGAGTAGAAGAACTCCCAGAACCCCATCAACCAGGTATCAACCAGGTATCAACCAGGTGGATTGATATCTCTGCATCTCAGCAATGCAGTTCAGTGGGTGTACACTATATTGCCTATTGCAAAAGTGTTGCTACTCCTACAGCATTGACACAGGATCGCCAGCCTAGGGTATGCTTTCATAAATGTTTATGTTGCTCTACCACTCATCAGCCACTATGAAACTTCTATATTAAAACTTACTGTTCTCTAGGTGGGGCTATAATATCCCTCATGTATGCCCATAGAGATGACGTGGAGGCGCACTTAAACACAATGGTAAAAATGTGTGATATTTACTAACATAAGCTACTTGATCACATATACAGTATAAGTAATAATGAAACAGGAATGGATGTAAAGAATAAACAATCTGGAGATCGTCGACAACTCTTCTCTCACGACCTCCGGCAACTCCGTCAGCTGGACATATTTAAATGGGGGTCTCACACCCTCTCACAGAGGGGGGGTCTCACACCCTCTCACAGAGAGGGGGTCTCACACCCTCTCACAGAGGGGGGTCTCACACCCTCTCACAGAGGGGGGTCTCACACCCTCTCACAGAGGGGGGTCTCACACCCCTCTCACAGAGGGGGGTCTCACACCCTCTCACAGAGGGGGGTCTCACACCCTCTCACAGAGGGGGGGTCTCACACCCTCTCACAGAGAGGGGGGTCTCACACCCTCTCACAGAGGGGGGGTCTCACACCCTCTCACAGAGGGGGGGTCTCACACCCTCTCACAGAGGGGGGGGTCTCACACCCTCTCACAGAGGGGGGGTCTCACACCCTCTCACAGAGGGGGGGTCTCACACCCTCTCACAGAGGGGGGGTCTCACACCCTCTCACAGAGGGGGGTCTCACACCCTCTCACAGAGGGGGGGTCTCACACCCTCTCACAGAGGGGGGTCTCACACCCTCTCACAGAGGGGGTCGCTTCGTCCATGTCGACCACCACCTCTCCAACTGCCTCGTCGTCCACACACACACTGTCCTCTTCAACAGTCCTGGACACACGCTGCCCTGCAGCCTATCCTACTACCAATGTATTAATGTTATACTGAAACATGCATATATAAATATCGTGGCCTAGCTAACCTACACAACAAGGGGTAATGGGAGAGAAAATTGATCTACCTTCAACATTCCCGGCTCACGACACCTGTCCCTCCAATGGTGTGAGGCTTCCCGAGTCGGTCCTTGACGATCCAGTGACACGTTACTAGTCCTCAGGTGTCGTGAAACCGTCGAGCTAATCACTGTATACACACGCTTGTTCCTTCCACAAGGCGTTTCTCCTTGTCCTAGGATCGGTGTCGTCCCTCCAACATCCTCAGTGAATGTGATCCGGTCACAGCAGACCTGCCCGCCACACCATCCAGACCCTCCAGCTTTATCAAGACCATTACTGTGCTCTGTAAAACTAAGAACTAAACTTTTAAGACTGTACATGCATTGATTTTCCTCCCCTCCCCCCACCCCCCAGCTATACATCTCCCAGGCTGAAATGTTAATAAAAACTTAAATACTGACTTTCCTGATCTCACTAATGCAGAGTTAGGCAACTTTTGTGGCTTGCATGCTGGGAAAGGTCAGTAGTTGAGCCAGTGGGATCTGGATAAGCCTAATTAAAGGCTTCCTGTCTCTGGTAACAAGACCCAACAAAGAATTTGTTGCGTGCATAATTCTATATACTTGACCAGACCACACACTAGAAGGTGAAGGGACGACGATGTTTCGGTCCGTCCTGGACCATTCTCAAGTCGATAGAGAATGGTCCAGGATGAAGAAAAACATCGTCGTCCCTTCACCTTCTAGTGTGTGATCTGCTCAACTTACTTTAGCCACGTTATTGTGACTCATCGCCTGTATTCTATATATTGTTCATTTGATGTGAATTAAATTGAACTTTAAACAAAGTTTTGTGGTGTTTTGTACAACCCATCCTCCGAATTGACAGTACGATTTAATACTAAGTGTACTAAGTACACTTTCTTACTGTCATAAACAGTGCATAATTGCACTTAGGGGGCTGTTACATTTACCCAACTCCCTCCCCCGATTTAATTCTCCTCGTTTTCTGTTAAGACACTCAGAATTTTAGGACGAAGATTTCATCTTCAATTGGCTATACTCAAGTTTTAAATATCAGGAATTTCTTTTTCAGGTTTATTAAACAACATAGATTTTATGCAAAATTTTAAAATATCCTGAGTTAATTTACAATTTATTGATATATTTTAGTTTTGTTTTATTAGTTTTATAAAACTGTAATATCAATATAGATATAAGTTAAGTACTAATTGTAATTAGGAAGCAATAAAATTATTATCTTCAAAAACTACGACGGTTAGGTGAGGTTGTGGTTTTCTATTCAGTTTTTCAGGTAAACTCAAATATTCACAATATATTTGACAGTACGGTTTAATACTAAGTGAAAATAAGTACAATTCCTAACTGCTATGAATAGTACATAATTGCACTTAATTGTCTTCTTACATTTACCACCCCATTTTTGGAGGACGGGCTGGTTTTGTAATAATATATAGAACTTGATATGGATGTGACTTGTATCAATATAATGTTCTTGACAGGCAACAGCAACTTAGTGTACACAATCATCCGTAAGCGGCAAGTGTTCCACTCCTTAGCCAACCTTCCAACGGACTATGGAACCATCAACAAGTCTCTGAACAGGCGAGGCAAGAGAGGTCTGTTGCGACAACCGTCCACGGAGTCAACCCGAGGTCAGAGGACGATGGAGGGAGCTCTCCCAGCCCAGCCTGCCCAACCTGGCACAAAAACTGCTACTCTAGCTGCTATGCCTAGTAAGGTTATGATTAGTAAGCAGTGTGTGTGTGTGTGTATACTCACCTAAATGTGCTTACAGGGTTGAGCTAGGCTCCTAGTCCCGCCTTCCAAACATTCGTAGATTAATGCAGTGACTCATTTCTCACGCTTTTATCGTTAAATTTAAAAACGCTTACATTTAAAATTTTGAATCAAATTTGCTTCAACGACTATTGCACCTAACCTACTAACATTTACTGACAGTTCTAACACTGAAAAAGTTCTTCCTGATGTCTCTGACTCATTTGCGTCTCCAGTTTCCAACTATGACCCCTCGTTCTGCTGTTCCTAGCTTTGAACAACGCAGCTTTATCTACTTTGTCAATTCCCCTCAGAATCATATATGGTATCATGTCCCACCCCCTACTTCTCCCTTCCTCCAGAGTGGTAAAGTCCAGTTCCCTCAGTCTTTCCTCATAGCTCAATCCCCTCGGCTCTGGAACGAGTCTCGTTGCATATCTTTGGATCTTTTCTAGAGTCTCCTTGTTCTATTTCAGGTAAGGGTTCCATGCTGGGGATGCATATGGGTCTAACCTTCGGTGTATATAGGGACCGGAAAGCTCCTTTGTCCAAATTTCTGAAGTATACACAGATGTTGGCCAGTATGCTATGTGCAGCTGTTGTTATTGTGTTAATGTGGGCTTCTGGCATCAGATTTGGGATTATGTCCACCACCAGGTTTTTCTTCTTTTCTGACTGAAGAATTTGCCTTCCCTTCATCCTATACTGTTGTAGTCGTCTTCACACACTCCTGTTAAAGTCCTAATAATTTTGCATTTGGCTGGATTAAAATCTAGCAGCCGTTTTTCAGACCACTTCTGGAGTGAGTCCAAATCTGTTTGCAATGCATCACAATCTAACCCAGACTTGACTATTCACATTAGTCTTGCATCATCTGTAAACATGATATGAAGGAGCCAATTTCCTTTGTCAGGTCATTAACATATATTTGAAACAGGACGAGGCCTAGAACTGACCCTTGTGGACCCTTCTTGTAATCTCTCTCCACTCTGATGTCTCTGATTTCACTGTACCCCTTTGCTTCCTTCCTGAGCGATACACTCTGACCCATTTTAGGGCTCTTCCAGATATGCCAGACTGCTTTTCTAGTGTGAGTTGGAATCTTTCATGCTGGACTGTATCAAATGCCTTCTGACAGTCAAGAAATATACAGTCTGCCCATCCCTCTCTCTCTCTAGTTTGAGAGAGAGGCCCACATCCTCCTCATTGGGGACTTGAACCTTTCCAGGCAGGTCTCCTCTCCTCACCAGCATCAGATCATCTCGAGGTGGGTGACTTCCAGCATGATCAAAATGTTACTTCAGTGAGTTCCCACCTCTTCCTGGTCTTGAAACAAACTCGCCAGACCTCCAGTTTATCCTTGATCTCTTGAAGCTGAACCAGTTCATTTCCTGCCCCTCATTCTGAATGACCACCTTGTTCCTTGTCTCATACTAGAGGCAGACGCTTGGGTGATTTCACTGGGATGTATATTGGCATTACATTATACACCTGTGGTTCAGGAATTGGTTAAGTTTTGTGGTGGGGCAGCAGGCTTACTGCTTTTTGGGTTCTCCTGTTTGGGCTCAATCTGCCTTTACCCGTGTTCACATGTTTGGCTCGAGTTGTCGTGACTCGACGTGTCTCCTAGCCAGGGATTTGGTTCTTTCCCAGCGGCCTTGACTCACCAGCAGTACCTAGCAACAGCCACTGCCGTGATCACTCGGTGCGGGCTCCATTGGCTCTTTGCCAGCTGCTGCGTTGCCAGCTTCCTCGTCAGGCTTTTCGGGGTTTAGTTCTCGGGTACCTTCCTCCACCCTCGTTCAATGTCTTCACAGACACTTTGGCTCTGGATTGGGGCTTTGTGACCAGTGCTCACCAAGCAGGCCAGGATTGTTGGTTTCTTCTCCTTTGTTGTGCTCACAGTATGGTTCACGAATTTGTGGCTGTGTGTAATGCACTGTGGAGGGTTCGTATTCTTCCTGGCTCTATACAGACTGTTTCCCCGTGATTCACTGTTTCAACCAGGAGGGCTTGCTTTGGTCCCTGTTTATTTGGTGCTGGATGCTTCATGTACCTCTTCTGCTGGGTTCTTGAGGGTTTGGCTCTCCACTCCTTTCATGTCCAGTGAGTGACCAACATTCTTGCAGATGGTCTGTCCCGGTTCCTTCCCATTTCCATGGAATGGACTATCGATGTCGCCTCCTAGCTATCACTTTGCAAGACGTTCGTGTGCTCGGACATGGACTTCATTTCTTTGGTGTAGAATTGGTGCCTTCACATGATGCGGGTCCCTTTCCTGACCATTCCTTGCGGTGGATGCCTTTCAACTATATTGGTTGAGGTGGGAGTTCCTGTTTCTCTTCCCCCAGTTCATCTGGTGCTCTGGGTCCTGGCCAGGTTAGAGTCCTACCGAGGGAGAGTGGCTGCCTAATGGCTGGCTCAGCCTTGATTTCAGGCGCTGCTTGTTTAATGTCCGAACCTTGGATATTTTTCCGTGGTTCTTCCTCTACCAGAAGGTTGGCATAGTGATATACTTTGCTGGTTTGACCTCCTCAGCTCTTTGTGTCTGGACTTTTTGACGTGTCTTTGGTGAGCAGGTGGCTTCTTTGATGGTGTCTCTTGCATTCCTCTTCTCATTGACAGTATGAGGTTTCGTGTTACTCCTTTTGCCACTTACTCTACTTTCTCTTTGTCATTGTTCCTCGGTTTCCAAGCATGTGGTGTTGTCCTTTCTTTCTTTGCTTTTTCTTGATTGGCATCTCATGAGTAACACTGTTGATTCATATCGGGCATCGCTGGCAGAGCAGCTGTGGTTTGCATTCAGTTTGATACTACTGTACATCGGCTCCATTTTGCAAGCTGTCTTGTGCCTGGATTCACCTCTGGCCTGCTTATGCACTGCCTGAGCCTGCCTGGTCTCAGACTACATTCTTTTATTTATTTATTTATTTATTTATTTATTTATATATATACAAGAAGGTACATTGGGTTTGTGAGAATACATTGGATAGTACAGTAATTACATTCTTGTAAAGCCACTAGTACGCGCAGCGTTTCGGGCAGGTCAATTGCTTTTCTTTCTTCCTCTTGTTTTATGGTGTCCTTTTTAGTTCGGGATTTTTTCTCTACATTGTTGTTTTTGTATTGGTTCACTGATTTTCTGGATGCTTTCCCGGTGGAGTGGCAGATTGTCACCTGTTCACTGTGCCACATTCTGGCTCTGGTCCCCGGTAAGCCAAACAGAACTCCATGGATAGTTGGGAGCCATCTCAACAAGATAGCTTCATGGAGCCACTGGGGTTCACCCAGAAAGAGGCATTTCATTACATTCAATGCTGGTTTTATCTAGTTAAATTTAAGAATGATGTGCATCCATTTGTTTAAACATTTATTATAATGTGAAATGTTTGGTTTTGTAGTACTGGAGAAGATGACAGAAAAGGAATCTGCCCATCCTACAACTCAGCAGCTAAATGAGTTAACCATAGCAGCGACGGCCAATGGTGACCTTGTGGGCCCAATATCGCCAACGTCTAAAGTACCACCACGAGGAATTGGAGAAGACGACCCCTCGGCTGGAGCTGATGTGGCCGTCCCACTCCCACAGGGCACAAGTATTCAGCCTCCGACAGAAAATCACACCTTACCTATTGTAGAAAATCCAAAGATTTCTGATAAGGTAAGATAATTTTTTTTTAATATTGTTACTAGTTAAATAACATATGGTAATGAGTATTTAGGCTTATCATTATTCATATTTTATTAATAACATCATTAACAGCTACTGTATCTTGCATTTTAGGTTTTATCTCATACTGTTACCCTTGCATATCTTTTCATTAATAAACAACTCCCCAGTGACCCTGTTCCAGATGTTGTAAGATTCTTAAAATATGTTACATAATATATATATATATCCCAAGAAGATTATTCTACAAAGTACTAAGTGCCAAACCTTGTAAGTAAATTTGCAAGTGCCAAACCATTAAATGGTGTTCCATAATATGTGTACAGTTTTCAAGATGGCATCTGTTTACAGAAGTCCTGAGGCACTGGATGTGAGCCCATGTTCCCGTGGGAGTTTTGAATTGCTCCCTTTACTTAAAAATGCCATATGGCGCTCTGCACACCCCCAGTTGGGTGCCTTAAGGTGCTCTGTGCAGTGCAGTGGTTAAAGAACACCACAAATTTGCTGTCACACTTGCAAAAAAAAATTAATAAATAAAAAAAGGCAGGTTGGATAACAAGAAGCTTCCAAACAAGAGATGCCACGCCAATGCCGAGGCATGGCATCGTAGTAGTACAGTACAGTGGAACCTCTATTAACGAGTGGCTCTATTAACGAGTTTTTCCAGTAACGAGCAAGCCACTCGCAGCAAATTTGTCTCTATTGACGAGCTCGCCTCTATTAACGAGTGAAACCACATGGCGCTTCCTAGCGTCTCGCGGGTTCTCGCAAATTCTCGGACGCCTCCGACGCCAGTGTTGTTGTTGTATCTCACACGACAAGCATCCCTATGGATTTATTTGAGCTTTTCTTTGGGTTTTTAGTGGTTTTGCGACTACAATTTGTAACACATGATGTCTCCAAAGAAGCTGCTTGCTAAAGATAGTGTTGTCAAGAGGAAGAAAGACAATTACTGTGGATTTAAAGAAGGAAATTATAGCAAAGCATGAGTGTGGTGTCTGTGTGATTGATCTCACAAGGAAGTATGGCAGGTCCTCATCAACAATTTACACATTAGTAAGGGAATGAGGAGGTAAGGGAGGATGCTGCCTCTTCCACTGAGATCAGGGAAGTGTTTGGAATGTTTGAAAAGGTGAACGCATTCTTGGAAAAGCTGTCCTGATAAAGCAGTGACAACCCGGTGTGTGAAAATGTTTAATTAATTTATCACTTTGTGATAACACTTTATGAAAATGTTATCACTTTCGCAGGTATATGTCGCTTGAACGTAACACACTTTTTTTCTCTTGAATGCACCCAAACACCACGCTCAAGCGTCATTTGAGCAAATATTTATATAAAATCCAATTCTTATCCGATCGACTTGGGGATTGTATAAATGTTTGCCATGAAATTTCTGTTTTCTTTAATAACCACATTGCCTATTTGAGAAAACGGCATTGTATTGTATCTTCGTGGTAAGACTATTATATTGTTGACACAACGAGTGTAATCAACGTAGTTTTTTATTTGGTGCTGGTCTAACGCATCCTTGTGTGACATTTGAAATGAAATTTGGGTGAAATTCCCAAGAACAGAGAGTCCGCCTGACTCAGAGGTGGATTCTCCTTCCACACCATAACCCTTCTCCTCCTTCCCACCTCTCCATCGTCTCCCTCAAGCCAGCAACTACTCTTCATAAGGTAAAGTAAATATTAAAACACTACAACAAAACATTTATATTTAAATGTGCAATATTATATTTACATAAAAAAAGTCATACAAGTATGGATGTTTTTGGGAGTGGAACGGATTAAATTTATTTCCTTTATTTTAAATGGGGAAATTTGTTTCCAAAGACGAGTTTTCCAGGTAACGAGCTCGGTGCCAGAATGGATTAAACTCGTTAATAGAGGTTCCACTGTATGTCCGAAATACTTTTTCGGACATTAGTAATAAGGGACCACACTATCAACTTGATAGTGGTCATTAGTAATAAGGGACCACACTATCAACTTGATAATGGTCATTAATAATAAGGGACCACACTATCAACTTGATAATGGTCATTAGTAATAAGGGACCATGCTATCAAGTTGATAATGGTCCGGGACAGACCGAAACATCGTCTTCTCATCTTCTGGTATGTGATTTAGTCTTCATATCTTCAGCCGTATCTTCACCATCAGACATTAGTGCTTTCTAGAGTGGAATATTGTTGTACACTAACAGCCCCATTCAAAGCTGGAGAAATTGCTGACCTGGAGAGTGTGCAATGAACTTTTACCACTAGAATCCACTCGATAAAACATCTAAATTATTGGGACCGCATAACAATTTTAAAATTGTATTCCCTTGAGCACAGGCGGGAGAGATCCATAATAATTTACACTTGAAAAATATTAGAAGGACTGGTTCCAAATCTGCACATAGAAACACCATATAAAACCAGGAGGCATGGCAGGATGTGCAAGAAAGGTCACTGAAGAGCAGAGGTGCAATAGGCACGCTGAAAGAGAACTCGATCAACATCAAAGCCCCAAGACTTCAACATTCTTTCCCTACACGGGAGCTGGTCGGCCAAGTGGACAGCACGCTGGACTTGTGATCCTGTGGTCCCGGGTTCGATCCCGGGCGCCGGCGAGAAACAATGGGTAGAGTTTCTTTCACTCTATGCTAAGCAGTAAAATAGGTACCTGGGTGTTAGTCAGCTGTCACGGGCTGCTTCCTGGGGCTGGAGGCCTGGTCGAGGACCGGGCCGCGAGGATATTAAAAAAAAGCCCTGAAATCATCTCAAGATAACCTCAAGATACACATACTCATCAGATAACTGGCCGATCTCTCAGTGTTCAAAAGAGAACTCGACAAGCACCTTCAAAGGATACCTGATCAACCAGACTGTGACTCATATGTCATGCTGAGAGCAGCTGCATTGAACAGCCTGGTTGATCAGACCAGCAGCCAGGTGGCCTCATCAGAGACTGGGCCTTGTGGACATTGATCCTCAAAATCATCAACAGGTAGCTGAAAAATTGGGTAAAATTTAATTTATAAAAATTTTGTTTAAACCATAAACAACCGTACTCACCAGCATGTAATGGTGTATTTTCACAGTTGTATTACAGTTACAATACTATACAGTACTATAAAGTACTGTATATTGTACAGTACTGTATAATACAGTACTATAAAGTACTATACAGTACAGTACTGTACTTTATAGTACTGTATAATACAGTACTATAAAGTACTATACAGTACAGTACTGTACTGTATAGTACTTTACACTGAATATGTTCTATGCCGCTTTCTGCTGTATTTTGGATTATCAAAGTTATACATAAAGTATACACTTAACACTATTGTATTTTTGTATTCCTGCTCTTGTTCACATACCAGGAAGGAAAGTTATGCACTGAGATTCTGCAAAAGTCGAATTGACTTTCAATATCAACCAACATAAAATGTTTTATAGAGCATACTATTTCTCTCTCTCTCTGTATCTAGGTGTAGTTTGGGATGTATCAAACATCCCAAACCACATGTTGTTAAGTTCTAGCACAAAAACAGCTAAACATGGCATTACCAAAATTTTCTAACTAAAAGTAAGCACATTTTAAAAACAATTTGGACTCTTCGCTAACATATTAATTGTGTTGGTTATGGTGAGTGAAGGAGGTCGAGGAGGAGGAGGAGGAGGAGGAGGAAGGTGGGTGCGGGTGGTTGGGGGAGCCCGACAACAGCTGCGACGTGCTCCTCCTCACCGACCTCAGTGATCATCTTGTGAGGCGCTCCGCTACTATGGTGGGAGTTCCTTAATAAACAGCATGGGCTTAATGAAGCATGTTTGTAGCATGTTTGAAGTCATTAATGTTTATAGTTTAGTTTTTATTAACATAGTTTGTCAATTGATGATGTTGATGTCAAGTCTAGAAAATGTTCTTGAATTATTCTAGTCCTCAGTAGGAAAAACGCATGATTTATGTATGTAGAGTATTTAGTTTTATGTGTATAGACGGTAGAATACAGATATCAAGTGCTGTGAGTGGCACTTGAATATGCTTCAATACTAACAAAAATGCAGTTAATGATTTAAAACTTTAAAAGCCTTTAAACTTTTTGTAAGGGAAATTAGCTGCACATTCATTTCAATGTATTTTTTCTCCATTTATATTTTTGATAGATGATAAGTTTGAGAATGTAGTGGTATACTAAACAAATTTTGTGAACTGTGATATTTATTGAATTGTCACTCGGAGCTCCTCATATGTTGGTATTATGTTTTTGGTAATGCTGTTCTCTTACAATTCCTTCTCTATGAAGGGAGAGCAAAATTAATGGATTAGATGTCATTGTTTCCGGTGAGAACAAGAAAAATTAGGCACAGTTCTGCAACAGGAGAAAGAAAGATTTCTCTTCAATGGTGATTCATTTCTGTGTCAAGATTATCTAATATTTTTACAGTGTTGTTCTCACTCTACAGTACTAGTCTTATCACATGTTTTCGTATTGTGTTCATGTTGCCTGTTATTCTCTTGTAATTGTTCTTGCCTTGTGTAATTGCTGAGGTAGCTGCTGCTGCTCTCAGAATGGTCATAGCTGGATCTGAAGCATGCTGTATGTGGCTATTGTCAGGGCAATGCCATTTGTGAGCTGCATCCTTGTAAGCTCAGTACTGGGAATTAAAGTGAAATCTCTTAACAGTTACGTTTTCCTGGTAGATGCTCATCATTTGACAGATTGGAATAAATAATTTGCTCATTGAAATTTCCCATAATGTGTGGTAAAAATTAAGAGTGAATGGTAACTCGAATAATTTCTTTGGCAGGGAGGGAATTATCAGGGGGAAAGTGCCAAGCCATTACAACTATATAGCACTTGGAAGGGGGGTCAGGATAAGGACTTGGGATGGGACGAGGGAAAGGAATGGTGCCCAACCACTTGGACGGTTGGGGATTGAACGCCGGCCTGCATGAAGCGAGACCGTCGCTCTACCATTCAGCCCAAGTGGTTGGACTGGAAAGCTACTGAGAATATTTTAAAAGAAAATTCTACAGGAAATTTTCATTAAAGTTGACATGATTTTCGTTTATCCATGTATTGGCCTGGTTACCCTTGAAAATATGAAATCTGCGCGCACACACACACACACACACAAGAACTCGGGAAACACCAGAATTATAGCTCAAATTATAGCTCTCTCGTAACCACTGGGTTCGACCCCATGGGCCTTGCATCAGTTGCTGCGTTGCCGGCTTCCTCTTTGGCTTTTTCGGGATTCAGTCAGTGCCTTGGGGCCTCTCCGATCACTCGCTCAATGTGTTCACGGATGCCTCGTTCCCTCGGCTGGGGCTTTGTGACCAGTGTTCACCAGGCCAGCCATGGGCAGTATTCTCCATCCTTCCGTCGGGCTCACAGCACAGTGGGGCAGTTTGCGATGGTTAGGTTTTCATTGTGGAGGGTTCAGGTAGCTCAGGGCTCTACAATCTGGCTCCATTTTCCCCATTTTCTGGGTGATCCCCAGAGGCTCCCTGGCACCCTTCTTCCCTCCGGTCGGTGGTTTCGTTTTTCGATGCTCGGCCTCCAAACTGCGGCGTGTGGGTCTCGTGCTTTCCCCTCCGGGGAGGGAAGGGCTGCACGGTGGTGATGAATGACAATTGCTTGTTTCCTTTATTTTCTTTTTGAGAGTTCTATTTCTCTGTTTGGTCTTGTGTTTTTACAATTTCTGCCATGTGTGGTTTGTTTTGAGGTGCCTATCTTTCTGGGTGCCGAACCCCGGTCGATGGCAGACAAGGATTACCCTCAAATACAAGGGGGGGGGGTCTCCTTAAGTCATTGCTTTCTGTGCCTCTCTGAGGGGGGGCCCAGGTTCTGGCTCTGGTCCTCGGTAAGCAAGGACTCCATTGACTGAAACCCCCCAGACTAATACAGTATAGCATTTATCAGACCTATAGCTCCAGGGAGCCTCCGGGGGCTCACCCAGAAAATGACGTTTCATTACATTCAACACTGGTTTTCTGGGGGGGAGCCCAATCTGCTCCCTGGAGCTATCCAGGTTGAATGGATGTGTATAACTTTCTGGCATCAGTCAAAGTGCTTGGAGTTCTTGCCTACCGTGGACCACGAGCCAGAACCTGGCCCCCCCCCTCAGAGAGGCACGAGGAGCAATGGCCTATAGAAACCCCCCTGTAGTTGGGCGCATTCTATGTCTGTTATCGACCGGGACAGGCACCCAGAAAGGTAGGCGCCCCAAAACAAACCCTTATTCTAGTAAAAATATTGTGACTGAAAGCCGAACGAGTGGACAGAACTCCCCAAACAAATGAACAAATCCACAAGGGCCGTGACGAGGATTCGAACCTGCGTCCGAGAGCATCCCAGACGCTGCCTTAATCGACTGAGCTACGACATGGTCAAAAAGAGTTGAAACCGAAGTTCTACTGAACTTCGGTGCATCATGTTATTGTGATTTTTGTGTGTCCCCAAACAAAATTATAAAACTAGCATGATGTCCTCACATTGCTGCGTCACCGCCGTCTGTGCAACCCCCCCCCCTCCTTCCCCGGGAGGGGGAAGGGGAAGCCCCAGACCCTCCGTGATGGCGATCCACACCCCAGTTCTGAGACTGATGCTATAGGCAGCGATCGTGTGCTCTGTCTCCAGTCTTGGTCTCAGCCCTGTGCCTAGTGGTGTGGTGGCTGTCTTGTAGGGCTAAGGCTAAAGGAGGCCTGGTCGACGACCGGGCCGCGGGGACGCTAAGCCCCGGAAGCACCTCAAGGTAACCTCAAGGTAGGGGGTGTGCGAGCCAGGCGTGATTCTGCAGTACTCAGGCTGCATGTGCCTAGGGTTACCTTATATATGTAAGTGTATAGTGTATACCTTACATAAGTGCATATCACTTATGTGAGACCAATCCTGGAGTATGCAGCTCCAGCCTGGAGTCCATACCTAGTTAAACACAAGACAAAGTTAGAGAAGATCCAGCGGTATGCCACCAGGCTCGTCCCAGAACTGAGAGGAATGAACTACGAGGAAAGGCTAAAGGAGCTGAACCTCACATCCCTGGAAAACAGAAGAGTAAGGAGAGACATGATAACCACCTACAAAATTTTCAGGGGAATTGACAAGGTGGACAAAGACAAACTCTTTAGCACGGGAGGGACAAAAACAAGGGGACACAGGTGGAAACTTGGTACCCAGATGAGCCACAGAGATGTTAGAAAGAATTTTTTCAGTGTCAGAGTAGTTAATAAATGTAATGCACTAAGAAGTGATGTGGTGGAGGCAGACTCCATACACAGCTTCAAATGTAGATATGATAGAGCCCAGTAGGCTCAGGAATCTGTACACCAGTTGATTGACAGTTGAGAGGCGGGACCAAAGAGCCAAAGCTCAACCCTCGCAAGCAGCACAATTAGGTGAGTACCTTCCCTAGGTGTCCAGTAAGTACAGCCCTTGGGGGCTTGGGGTCACTTTCCACAGGTTCCTTGGGTTCTGCCTCTGTTTGGCCGTTTACTGCTCAGTTTTTGGTCGTCCTTTGTGTGCTAGGGTGTTCTGTCTCCCTTGTTTGCCTTAGGGTAGGGGGCAGTTTTTCACTGGTAAGGGGAGCATGGTACTGCGCAGCTTATTTTCCCCAATCATAGCGGCCAGCTCTGTTCCGTCTGAGTACGCTATCCTCTAGCAGGGTTTTCTTTTTCTTTTTGTTTGCCTGCCTGGTGGGGGGGGGTGGGGTCTGCCTTGGTTTCAGGTGCTTCGCTCTCTCGCTCCTCTTATATCTCCAGTTCGGGCCCTGTAGATACTGGGGGTGTTCTGGATTATCAATATGGGGCGGACGCTAGTTTTTCTGTGCATATGGGTGTGGGGCGCCACTCTCGCCTCTACCCTTCTCTTCTCCTGCATGTGCAGCTCTGGCCTTATTCCACTTGCGGTGCTTCCGGAAAATTCTTGGCTACAATGAGTCGTGACACGTTAGTGCCTAGCTCTGCAGGCGAGTTTATGCGGTCGGGCATCTCTTTCGGCCAGGCGCTGGTTCATGGTTTTTGGATGAGTGTCGGGGATTGGTTGTGGCATTTTGTTTGGCCCATTGCGTGCTTCTTCCTGTGGCCGTCCTTGATTGTCTGTGTTATTTGTTACATGGTGGGACAAGACCCCGTCTTTCATGGTATTTCATGGTTTCATTACATTCAACACTGATTTTTTAAGATCTGGAAGTCATTTTGAAGAATGTCTTTGCAACTTTTCCAGTTTATTGATATGTATTTAAAAGCGATTCTGAAGTTGGAAGTGGAGCATATGCTCCTTACACTGTGTCTTTCATGTAGTCATCTTGTGACAGTCTAGTATCCAGAACCACTCCTAGATCTCTCTCTTCGTCAGGTGTCGATGTAACTAGCATAGAGCGCACGATCTTCGGGCTTGCAACATATCGTGTATAGATACTACAGAGTTTGTGTAGCATCTGATTCTGTTGCCGCTATTTTTACACCGCAGTTGTTAAGTGAATGCCCTAAGTACTGTGAGACGTACTAGGGGACCTGGTTGATCAGTCCAGCAACCAGGAGGCCTGGTTGATGACCGGGCCGCGGGGATGCTAAACCCCGGAAGCACCTCAAGGTAACCTCAAGGTAACCTCAAGGTAACCTCAAGGTAACCTCAAGGTAACCTCAAGGTAACATCAAGGTAACCTCAAGGTAAGGTAACCTGACCTATATTGGCAGAATACTCATGAGAGTATTCTGAGGGAGGGATGCCGCACTTGACAGACACCACATGAGATTTCAGCTTCAAGAAGCACCAGGGGTAATCAGAAACAACACTTTAAAGATCTACCTAGATTCTTTCTGAATGGCTTGGTACATGCATAGGCTGAAGTAGGAGTAGTATGCAGACGAGGAGTCACAATAACGTTGCTGAAATATGTTGACCAAACCACACACTAGAAAGTGAAGGGACGATGACGACGTTTTGGTCCGTCCTGGACCATTCTCAAGTTGATTGTGATATCGACAATCAACTTGAGAATGGTCCAGGACGGACCAAAACGTCATCGTCCCTTCACTTTCTAATATGTGGTTTGGTCAACATATAGGAGTGGTATAATTGCACTATGGCTTTAGTATGACCACAGGTCACCAGTTTTGTAAACAAGTCTCCAATTAACTCCAAAAGTTCATAACATCAGTGCTAACCTCAGTTATATCATTTCTCATATATAATTACCGTATGGGATATATCGTGTCTGACAAGTTATAATGTAATATCTTACTATTTAGGAGAGCTATTGATTAGCATTAAGTAGATCACCTGAAGATGCCGATTGTCAGTAGAGGGATTCATTATACAATTGCATTTAATTTGCATGCCCTGGCATATGCTCTCTTAAGTGATAGACTAGGAAGGATGGGGGGAATACTATCACAGTTACAGTGACAGAGTTTCAAGTTGTTTTCCTCCTCAGTTTTGCTGAAAAGTTTTGTCCATACTCAGAGCCTTGAAAATGCAAGACATACAATTTTTTCCAGCCCAGCCGTCCTGAGAGTCCGACACTGTCCCTGCGATCAGCTCAGTCAGATTCGTCGGGCCCCAGCACTTTATCTATGGCACGCTCAGAATCGGCAGCTTCGGCCCTCGGGTGTAGCTCGCAGCAACAGTGGGTACCAAACTCTGCCTGGGCCTTGAGTTGGAAGACTAAGCTGCCTTTACAGACTATCATGAGACTGCTGCAGGTTCTTGTTCCTCAGGTCGAGAAAATCTGCATTGACAAGTGAGTTGATTTGCTTTTAAAAAGTACAGTTTTAAGAACAGATTAGAGGTAGTTACTATTTATGTCCACTCAAATTCTTGTATACTGTATGTAAGTTTGTTCATTTATTTATATATTTATTTATATATTTATTTATTTCTACTGTATATATATATTAGGGTCCCGGTAGTAGAGTTGCGTTTGTTCTCGACACACAATCGAGAATTCCGGGTTCAAATCCCGGGAAGGACAGAAATGGTTGGGCACATTTCCTTTTACCTAATGGCACTGTTCACCTAGCAATGAGTAGGCACTCAGGAGTTAGTCAGCTTATTGTGGTGTTGCATCCAGGGCAAGGTCAGTAATTCGGCCTTGGAGGGTGGGACCTTGATAAAGAGCCAAACTTGTATGAATGCACTCTGGCTTCCTGCCCCATGACGCAATGAATTTGTGTATGTCAGTAATATATACTAATATATACTAATATATATATATATAATATATAATATATAATATATAAAAATAACTGAAAACTCACGCCCCAACACTCTTTGTCATGTAACGCTTTGAATGTAACAAACTAGGCTGTTGTAAGAATTATCCAGAGTGGTTTATCGACAAAAGAGAATGGGAAGCTGAGCCGCATGGTGACCTGACCCCCAGGGGAATTCGCGGTGGAAATAACCGACGCTTTGTTCATAGCTGCGTATAATGAATCATCCTATAGTATTCAGTAATTTAGAGAAAATTAGCCTTTATTCATTTTGTATTAAAATTGTATTGTATAATAGTACTGGATACAATATCAAGAGTATTCTAATTATTGAGTTTAAGTCACCATCAGTGACGTCACGAATCAGATCTAACTTTTAAGGCGGAGTGACCGGCGGTCATAGGTCATCAGGGTTGACAGGTCTACTATTTCTCAAAGTTTTAATAACCATTTTTGTGATCGGGAACAGCTCTGCCGTTAGATGTTTGTGTAATTTAATTCAGTAAAATAATTCAACCAGTCTGGATCAATTAAGTACAACAGAGTTTAATTGTTATAACTTAAACCTTGCTAGTAACTTGGTAGAACTTTGACTGACTAGGCGGAAGGATACAATGCTCTGTCTGGGGTAGACCAGACAAGGAGAGATCAGTGTGGTCACGGGAGCAGCTGGGAGAGGTCAAACATCTTACCTCTCCCCAAGACCAGCCCAACATCTCTAGCTGGTCGCCCAAGGTATAGTTGCTATTGTTAATTATAGAAATAGTCTTCTCATTTGCCACTCAGGTCAAGTAGGGAGTGTTAAAGTGATAGGGAGTGAACATATTTAGATTTTGTTTTAGTTTTCTTTTAATAAATTAAATTTGTTATTAATTTGCATTTTATTGTTTCCATGTGTTTTATGTGTATACTTGTCCTGGTCACGTGGTCCACACGAGGCAGAGTTGCATTGGGCGCCGATTCTAACATCGAATCGGAATTATCATTACCGTGTAATTTATTCCACACTCAAGGTCATCGTTTATAGTGGGGATCAAGCCCCAAGGTTGATTAATTAGCGTGATCGATCCAGACCTCGATCATTGCTCTTGTGTTACTGGTCTGGTGGTGGCAGCAGAGGCGACTCTAGGGTTTTGCTCAGAGCTTAGGTCACGTCATACTGGGTGTAGAATCCTAAGTCGGTCAATCGTCTTAGGACCACGTGGCGTGGAGTTGGCTTTGGTAAAAGTTTTGGAGTCCCTTGGTAGAGAAATAAAAGTAAGAATACGGGTAGAGGGAGTAGAAAGAAGGAAGTAAAGAGAGAGGAACCCAAACCCGTGTTACAATGGTGGCAATGGTAGGAAGTTTGTAAGATTTTAGAGACAACTTCGGCTTTTACAACGGCCTACCACCCACAAGCAAACGGAATGACGGAACGGACTAATCGTTCAGTCAAGGATATGCTTGCAATCCTTGCTGAACATGATGCAAACACCTGGGATGAACACCTACCCTATGTTCAGTTCGCCTTGAATACTGCCATCCACCAATCAATTAACACCCAACCACTTCATTTGTTTACTGGTAATTCATGCAATTTCCCGTCAGGTCTGCTTAACAGACATAATGTTGCATACGGGGAGGACTATCCTTCAGAGGTCCTTGGAAAAATGAGAAATGCATGGAATATTGCAGCTGAAGCGTCCAAGAAGGCACGGACTCGGTATGCTCATTTTTATGACAAGAAAGTGCGCCCTCTTGAGTTGACGGAAGGAAGCCTCGTATTGAGAGTGAATGAGGCTGCGCCCGCCAATCAGAGCAGGAAACTAGCTCCGAGGTGGCGAGGACCATATAGAGTAATTAAAAGGGCGGGGCCGGTTAATCTTGTTATAAAAGGAGTGTTCGAGGACCAGGTGGAAAGGACAATTCACGTAAATAAATTGAAACATTATCATGCTAGAGAGGAATTAGAACTGCCTTCAGCGGGTCTAGTTCCTGACTCAGCAGTGCTGACTCATGGCTTCACCGACGAGTCAGAAGATGAGGATGACCCTCTGTCATCGCTCATCAGTAGTCAGGTGCAGTCTCGCCACCCTATGGTGACGAGATCTCGCGCTATACAGTAAAGTAACTTCCTTGGTTAGTATAATTTAGTATTCATTAGATTTTCCTGTAAAGGCAATGAGATGTACTATGTCTATACTTGACTCAGGTAGCAACTTTTACCGTGCTCTGGGGTTCCACCTCCACCAAACCCAGAGTATATCTATGCTTCCGCTGTGTTGTGTCTGTCTGTTCCCAGGTCTGATTGGTACACCGACCCAGTTGTTCCAGCCACACGTGAACCCTTGTCTGTAAAGACCGAGGGGGGAGGCACGTTACACAAAGCCCTCCCCCACCAGACCCAGTAACCCATACATCAGTTACTTTGGGGATGAGTGACTGTCCAAGAGTCACCCGGCCGACGCCTCACGTCACTAACGAGGTTGTCAGGGCCAGCGAGCTGTCCACATTATAGCAGTCACCGGAGGTGCCATACAACGCCGGGGTAGCTGTCTCGAGATCACCAATACCCACCTGCTGCGTCATCAAGACTGCAGCCATTCCAGCAGTGTTGGAGGAGAGGTCAAGAAATGGAAAGCACGTAGCAGTACTCAAGAATTTCGCCGGAAGATTAATGATTACGTCATCTGAAGTAACAAGAAAGCAGAAGTAAGGCGGTCACAGGTGGAAGGCACGGTTTCCCTACAGAGTACCGGGACTCGCCAATAGAAGGTCGCAAAATTGTCTCCTTTGGCCTAAAGTCGGCGGTACGAGGGTATACACAGTTGGTGTTTACGGCCTAGTAACCTGGTGACATCAAGAAACGCCTGAGATGACGTGAGCAATGATGGAAGACGAGATTCACCTGTTCTGCAAACAAGCAACCCGCCTCTACGACCTTCTGACACCACTCCTGCTAAGAGACACCGTTGGTACATCCAGTCCTGCTCTGCTGTGGTCATCTGCGACGTCAAGTTTAACATCAAGACTGCCGTGTGAACTGTGATTGATACGAAGGCGTGTGGACTGTCGAGAGCAAGATTAATGGCCGAAGTAACAGTATTCTACAGCTGTCACTTGGCACTCCGCTCTACTACACTCTGTCGTCATTCAGGAGTACCGGATGGGAGTACAAGAGGACCAGGTATTGATGTCTACACATGGGAAGAAGCAAGATCGACATCGTCATCGTCAGCGACTACATTCAGCATCCAGCAGCATCGATTTTTTTTTTCTCGATTACTCAATATGAACAATTGACACAAACAACAAAGTTGGCTCTGAACATCTGTGTAAAGAACATCTGGACACTTTTGTTTAAATGTTGAAAAACAGAGTTAGAATCAATACTTTATAAATGTTGAAAAACAGATTTAAAATAATTCTGGTATAATATATGAAAATTTACTCTATAAATTGGTCAGTAATCAAAATCGAAGCCCCTGTGTAATTGTCTCAGCCCAGAACAAACGGTTATGGAAAATTATGTTGTGCTATTTTTTTCAGAATGTTTGAACACAGGAGAGGCGGACCAATATAAACATTGACACTTCTAGTGAGTGAGAACACTTGGCTGTACAGTCAGCTGAAACCTGTGATATAGTATAGGAATTTTTTTTATATTTTTAGATACATGTAATAAACGTTAGGTGTGTTCCTTAGCATGTCAAGGTTGACATTGATGGGGAGTGGTTAGTACACGGATGTGTACTTGATAGTTCCGTAGTACGCTCCCGGATGACTGAAAGTTCAGTCTGAAGTTATAACTTTAATGTTTGTTTGAGCACGGTGTGGCCGGCTCTAGAGGACACATGGACTTGGCTAGTGAAGAGCCAAGAGAGTTTAATAGCTAGTTTTTGATGGTAGAGTAGGGACATGTTATTTAGCTATGTCAGTAAGGATAGGATGTATGTTTCCTGATATTAGAGGATTGCTGTCAGTTGACAGCTGAGAAATTTATGAAATATGAACATGTTTATTATGATGTTGGACTATTATTTGTCAAATTTTATTAGTTAGGTTAGCTTTTGTTTGTGGCATGAGTTGAATTGTGGGTTTGGATACTAAACCTCGTGAATTTTAACAAATTAACAAGGTTTACTAAGTGCTTGTGCGGGGGGGTTGTAACAAACTAGGCTGTTGTAAGAATTATCCAGAGTGGTTTATCGACAAAAGAGAATGGGAAGCTGAGCCCGCATGGTGACCTGACCCCCAGGGGAATTCGCGGTGGAAATAACCGACGCTTTGTTCATAGCTGCGTATAATGAATCATCCTATAGTATTCAGTAATTTAGAGAAAATTAGCCTTTATTCATTTTGTATTAAAATTGTATTGTATAATAGTACTGGATACAATATCAAGAGTATTCTAATTATTGAGTTTAAGTCACCATCAGTGACGTCACGAATCAGATCTAACTTGTAAGCGGAGTGACCGGCGGTCATAGGTCATCAGGGTTGACATGTCTACTATTTCTCAAAGTTTTAATAACCATTTTTGTGATCGGGAACAGCTCTGCCGTTAGATGCTTGTGTAATTTAATTTCAGTAAAATAATTCAACCAGTCTGGATCAATTAAGTACAACAGAGGTTAATTGTTATAACTTAAACCTTGCTAGTAACTTGGTAGAACTTTGACTGACTAGGCGGAAGGATACAATGCTCTGTCTGGGGTAGACCAGACAAGGGAGAGATCAGTGTGGTCACGGGAGCAGCTGGGAGAGGTCAAACATCTTACCTCTCCCCAAGACCAGCCCAACATCTAGCTGGTCGCCCAAGGTATAGTTGCTATTGTTAATTATAGAAATAGTCTTCTCATTTGCCACTCAGGTCAAGTAGGGAGTGTTAAAGTGATAGGGAGTGAACCTATTTAGATTTTGTTTTAGTTTTCTTTTAATAAATTAAATTTGTTATTAATTTGCATTTTATTGTTTCCATGTGTTTTATGTGTATACTTGTCCTGGTCACGTGGTCCACACGAGGCAGAGTTGCATTGGGCGCCGATTCTAACATCGAATCGGAATTATCATTACCGTGTAATTTATTCCACACTCAAGGTCATCGTTTATAGTGGGGATCAAGCCCCAAGGTTGATTAATTAGCGTGATCGATCCAGACCTCGATCATTGCTCTTGTATTACTGGTCTGGTGGTGGCAGCAGAGGTGACTCTAGGGTTTTGTTCAGAGCTTAGGTCACGTCATACTGGGTGTAGAATCCTAAGTCGGTCAATCGTCTTAGGACCACGTGGCGTGGAGTTGGCTTTGGTAAAAGTTTTGGAGTCCCTTGGTAGAGAAATAAAAGTAAGAATACGGGTAGAGGGAGTAGAAAGAAGGAAGTAAAGAGAGAGGAACCCTAACCCGTGTTACAGTGATCATATCACCTCTTTTTCTTCTGTCTTCTAGTTTTGGCATATTTAATGCCTCTAACCTCTCCTCGTAGCTCTTGCCCTTCAGTTCTGGGAGTTCAGTTCAGACACTGAACTTGTTACAGTTCAGTGTACTCACCTAATTGTGCTTGCGGGGGTTGAGCTTTGTCTCTTTGGTCCCGCCTCTCAACTGTCAGTCAACTGGTGTGTGTGTGTGTGTGTGGGTGCATGTTTGTCATAAAAAATGTTAGCTAGTTGTTAGTAATAGTTGATTCATTGACAGTTGAGAGACGGGCCGAAAGAGCAGAGCTCAACCCTCGTAAACACAACTAGGTGAAAACAACTAGGTGAATACAAATGGTTACAATCTTGGTGCAAAATTCTTATATCTCTTCAGAATATCATCAATCTTTCCATTGTGTCACATCCAGGCTATTTGTTCAGGAACAGTCCTTATCTCAGTATTTCTAGACACATTAATCAACAGGCAATCAAGAACATAATGGGTAAGGGTGTGAGACCTTAACATACCACATAGTTTACACTTTGTCTCATTACCATTAACACCTGTTCTATATTCCCAGTAATATTTGTATCCAAGCTTGAGCCTTCCTAACTCCACGGGTTTCCCGCCACTACTTTCTCATCATGTATATTCCACACATTCATTGCCCAAAAGCTTAGGGATTGTTTTTGTATATCTCTCTGTACACCTTTTCTGTTGCAATTCATAACCTGGTTCTTTGAGTTTGCCTCTTAGTTTACCTTCTTTATTTCAGGGACTAGCATGGTGGTAAACCTGTGAATTTAATACAACTTTCTTATGGGCTTGAAACATTTGAGCTGAATATAAAAAATATTTATTGTCTCTCTCTCTCAGGGGTCTGACAGATGAGAGTGAGATCCTACGGTTCCTTCAGCACGGCACCTTGGTGGGACTGTTGCCTGTTCCCCATCCTATTCTCATCCGCAAGTACCAGGCTAATGCTGGAACTGCCACCTGGTTTCGCACTTATATGTGGGGCATCATTTACCTAAGGTAATCAATACAAAATTACAAATTTGTCAGAATTGCATGTTAATATAATAATGAATGCAGGATAATGAATATAAGTTAGGACGTGAATTTTGGAATTTCCTGTTTCTTATTAAGTACTGTACAATGAAGTTCACCCGAATGTCCTGGGCTGACATTTGAGCACGGGGCTTTTGGAGGTTGAATAGGGTCCTGGCCTCACGGTACCTCGTTAATGTTTCTGATCCTTCTCGGGCGTGTGTAGCCTTGGGTCACAGGTTGCAGCCAGTTGTTTCAATTTCGAGTTGAGGAGCAAGTGGTGGCCGCTTCTCGGGTAAGTCCCTCTTTTTACTTTATCTTTGGTTAGGTTGCTCTGGAGAGCTGAAGGAGCTCTCCACAGAACACCAGCGTTGAATGTAATGAAATGCCATTTTCTGGGTGAGACCCGGAGGCTCCCTGGCATTCCTCCCTCCCTCTGGTCGGCGTTTTTTTCACATTTTTTATATTTAGCCTCTGAACTAGGGTTGGGTAGCCGGCGCAGGAGGGGTGAGAGCTGCGCAGACAGCGGTGCGGTGGCTGTGGTGACATCATGTTTGTTTGCTTGTTTTCTGATTGGGGAGTTCTGCTTGCTCGTTCAGCTTTTGGTTTGCAATTTTTAACCAGCTTTAGTAGTTTGTTTTGGGATTCCTACGTTTCTGGGTGCCTGACCTGGTAGATGGCAGACATAGACTGCTTCCAGCTACTTGGGAGTGTATATAGGCCATTGCTCCTCGTACCTCTCTGAGGGGGGGGCTAGGTTCTGGTTCATGATGTTGATGGTCCTCAGTGGGCTAGAATTCCATCGATTGACTGTTGCCACGGTCTAATATATACACACATTAGCCTGATATAGCTCCGGAGAGCCTCTGGGTCTCGCCCAGAAAATAGCATTTCATTACATTCGACACTTTTCTTAAATACTTCAGAAATGTATAAATACTGTACTGTACTTCAGAAAACATTTCCCTCTTTTTTCAGAAATGTCGATCCTCCAATCTGGTACGATACAGATGTCAAGTTGTTTGAAATCCAGCGAGTATAAAAGTGTGTGCAGTCAGCCAAGTGAGGAGTTGCAGAGGGCTACAATTCCAATTTAGAATCTCATGCATGAGAACAAATTATGAATTTAGTCAATATTTTTACATATTTTATGAAGATATTTTTTACCTTATTTGCAAATTATAGTATGGTGTGCCTTTTTTTTTTTTACCTCTCTTGCTGTAGCATGCATATGCAAATCAGAATGCTTATTATTAATGAGGCTGAGTGTACTACCTCATTTGGGAAAATTCTCATTTGACATTTGGTTTTCAGGCGGTGCACTGTGAAATACTAAAATAGGAACATTAGTATTTTCACGTTGGCTGGTATTGGGATTAGCCTTATAGCAATGAAAGGGTTATAATTATATTTGTAACATTTTTGCTTCATTTTAGATATGATTATGTTAGATTTGGTTTTTCTAATGAATGTTTTATTGGATATCAACTTTGTTCACCCCATTAAGTACAATTTTTATAAATGGTCTTGTAGCAAAGTGCCACAGCCAAGTGTCAAACTAAGAGGAAAAATGCTAACATTTCAAGAATTATAACAGATTTTTGTATAATCTATTAAAATAATGCTAAAATTATTCTATAGTCTGTTATAGAATAATAACATTATGAATATTCTATAACTAATTATAGATAAACCATAATTATAACTTGCCCAAACATTTCTGACAAATATTTTGTTTATATGCTAAATTGTATTTATCAAGAGTGATACTGATATAGGGTAGCTTTAGGTATACATATAGCAGTTGTTTTGTGTGATGGGTATATGGTATGACTGTAAATATATGATGAGTTAGGGACGAAGGAGCTAGCAGTCAGGTTGAGGATTTGGTGTGTTGATAAGTGAAGTAGGAGCTGCAGTCCTTGCTTTGTCTCATGAGACACACACGATAGGAATTATTATCTGTACAAATTTTTAACATACACATATTGTATAGGATTATCTTTCCCTATACAGTAGTCCCCTCAGTTACCCATTAGCCTGAAACGTTTGAGGAGTTACAGGTTCCGTAAAGGGGAGGCTTAACATCTGGGTGAGAGTTGTTGTTGGTATTTTTATGTGAAATGTCTAGTTTTTCATTCTTTAAAGACATAGTTTTCTTATGACAGCAGATGATAAATACATTTCTTCCCCCCTTCCCCCCCCCCCCCTTACCCAGCCACTTGGGTTAGAAGGTAGAGCGACGGTCTCGCTTCATGCAGGTCGGCGTTCAATCCCCGACCATCCAAGTGGTTGGGCACCATTCCTTTCCTCCCGTCCCATCCCAAATCCTTATCCTGATCCCTTCCCAGTGCTATATAGCTGTAATGGTTTGGCGCTTTCCCCTGATAATTCCCTCCCCCCTTTCCCCCCCCCCATTGCATATACAAATGGATATTTCCTTCCCCTAATTAGTAAGTAGAATGTATGGCTGTACATTAATGTAAACATATTGAAGGAATGATGCAATGTGGTCTGTTGAGGGCAGGGAGTTCATGGCTTGTTGCAGTCTCCTAGTCCATAAGCAAAGCTCTTTGTACACACTCACCCATCCAGTTACTGGTTGGACCCAATATTGCTTAATCTGCTTTATTGTGCAGTACGTATTTCATCTGCAGCTGACATGCCAAGAGCTGCCCAAGATACACATGAGTAGATATCACAATGCCATAGTCTCTACTGGTAATTTCTCTGTGCTAACTCTATATACATCTGATATATAAGAATTAAAATTAACTATCAAGCTATAGTTATTTCTCACAAGTTTTTGCATGTTAATTACAAAGCAGACCTGTAGATGACATGCACAGGCTGGTACTCAGTGCTGGCAGGCAGCCGACGCAGGTAGAAAGTGATGACAGGTACGCAGAGAGAGGTGAGCCTTCAGGCAGAGAGAGGTGAGCCTTCAGGCAGAGAGAGGTGAGCCTTCAGGCAGAGAGAGGTGACCCTTCAGGCAGAGAGAGGTGAGCCTTCAGGCAGAGAGAGGTGAGCCTTCAGGCAGAGAGAGGTGACCCTTCAGGCAGAGAGAGAGGTGAGCCTTCAGGCAGAGAGAGAGGTGAGCCTTCAGGCAGAGAGAGGTGACCCTTCAGGCAGAGAGAGAGGTGACCCTTCAGGCAGAGAGAGGTGACCCTTCAGGCAGAGAGAGAGGTGAGCCTTCAGGCAGAGAGAGGTGAGCCTTCAGGCAGAGAGAGGTGAGCCTTCAGGCAGAGAGAGGTGAGCCTTCAGGCAGAGAGAGGTGAGCCTTCAGGCAGAGAGAGGTGAGCCTTCAGGCAGAGAGAGGTGAGCCTTCAGGCAGAGAGAGGTGAGCCTTCAGGCAGAGAGAGGTGAGCCTTCAGGCAGAGAGAGGTGAGCCTTCAGGCAGAGAGAGGTGACCCTTCAGGCAGAGAGAGGTGACCCTTCAGGCAGAGAAGGGTGACCCACATGCAGACACACATAACCTGCAAGCAAAGAGATATGACCTGTAGGCAGAGAGACATGACCCATAAGCAAAGAGACATGACCTGCAGGCAGAGAAAGATGACCCACACTAGCGGAAAGAATACAGAATGACAACAATCGTACACAGACATAACCAACCTTTGTCACTGATCAACATGCTATGCAAGTTGTTCAGAGAGCAAAATACTAACATAATATAATACTTTATTGGGGAAGTAAAGCATAATACTTTTCTGGGGAAGCCCCCTTGTGATTCTTTGAAGCTACAGTACTATATCTGATATGCTGCCAGACTACAAGGTGCCATGAATCACAGAATTCTTATTGGCTCACCGGGACCACGAGCCAGAACATGACCTTTCCCTATGAGAGGCGCAGGGAGCAGTGGCACTTATGAAAAAATTTGTGAATCTATTCATCTCTGCCACTACCAAGGAAAGGCACTCGGAAAATCAGTGCAACAAAACATACCACGGCTTTAATAGAAACAAGACCATAGCCTCAAAACTGCCAAAAGAACTTCCCCCCTAACAATGTAAACAAACTATGGAAAATTTGTGAAACTAGTGCTAGCTAGTTTGCCCTTCACTTTTCCCCGTCATTTTGGGCAGACAGACTGGGTCAGCAGTCAGCCAGCTGCTCCACCACCAGTTCTCATTCTGATGTGTACTTTCTTGGTTGATCTGGCTCATGCATATTATCTCCACCTCAGTGGTGCTCTTTGGTGTCAGAGCAGGTCGTTCTGTCCTCTCTTGGCATTTTCTTGATCAGCGTCTTGTGCCAAATACTGTCGTCTTGTATTGTGCAGTGTTGGCAGAGCCGCTACAGCTTGCGTTCGGGGTCAATAATACCTTGGCCCTGTTTCGCATGCTTTCTCATTGTTTCACCTCTGGCCTGCTCATCTGCTGCCTGAGCCTGTGTGGTCCTTGGACCGGGGTCTTTCTTTTTTTCGTTCACTCATTTTAGTGTCTCCTTCAGTCCAAGATTGTTTTCAGAAAGCATTGTTTTTTTTATTTCTCTAGCTTCCAGTTATCGGGTAGGTGAACTTCATGCTCTTCTTTGACGCTGGGGCTTTTGCTCTGTTGGCCCAGGTGGGCGCTTAGTTCATCTGCAGTCAACTCCTTTTCTGGTGAAGAATGAGTCAGTTGGGTTCTGCAGGGGGTCCTTTGGTTGTGGATGCATAGTTGATTCGGCCTGGGTTGCATGATGTGCTGTGTCTGGTGGCAGCTCTGCACTGCTACCTTAGTTCCACTGGTTCTGCTTCAGTAGACTCCTAGTGGGTTGATTGAGTTTTCCTTGTTCCCTGTTCCAGGGCTGATATTTCTCAAGTTGTCCGCAGTGTCATCAAATCTAGCCACCTTTGGTCTACCCTCATGCCCATGATGTACATACATATGTCGCTCTCTTGGCTGTCATGTCTTGGACTGATGTCCAGGCACTGGGGGTTTTGGCAGGCTAAAAGGGTTTTGGTAGCCAGGTATCTTGTGAAAATTGCCGGTCCTAAGCGGCCTCGTGTGACTTTGATCATGTGTTGCAACCTGTTGTCTCTTCTTCGCTTTGATACTTGCAGTGCTTCCTCCTCACTGGTAAGTCTGTTTTATTCCTTCTCAGTGCGTAGTTTCTGGGAGCCACAAGGAGCTTCCCAGAAAACCATTGCTGAATGAAATGAAATGCCAATTTCTGGGTGAGCCCTGGTGGCTCCCTGACATCCTCCCTTCCCCAGGATGTAGGGTTGGTTTCCATCATTATAAAAACTGCTGGTGAACCAGCCAGCTGACCCAGTCTGCTTCCCCTCTCCCCGACAAACTTGGGGGAGTGGGAAGGTGGGGTGAACTAACTCATGCTAGTTTCATGAATTTTCAATCTTTTGTTTACATTGCTGGGGAGTTCTTTTGGCTGTTTTGTGGCTGTGGTCTGGTTTCTAACCAAGAAGTGGTCTGTTTTGTTGTGCTGACTCTGGGTACCTTCCCTTGGTGGTGACAGATGTGAATAAATTCACAAATGTGAATAAGTGCCACTACTCCCTGCACCTCCCTGAGGGGGCCAGGTTCTAGCTCATGGCCCCTGGTAGGCCAATAAGAACAACAACAAACGGCACCTTGTAGTCTGGCACTGTATCAGATACAGTAGCTTCAGGGAACCACCGGGGCTCACCAAGAAATTGACGTTACATTACATCGCTAGTTTTTTGCACATTCTGTACTATAATATATAGGTAGGTTCTAAATTATTGATTTGTGACTTTTGCAGGGCTAACTTGCAAGTGAGTGTGCCCAGTACTTATTTGTGTATAAAATTTACATTAATGCATGAAGGGAAAGCTGGTGACTCCTTTGGGCAAATTATAATTTATTTATATATATTGTGTGCACCTTTTTCTACACTCAGGCCAAAGAGTGCTATCCCAATGTTCATAAACCATTTCATCTCTTAACTCGTTATGCGCTTTACGCTTTACCATTATGCTCATGTTTTTGGCTGCCAGTCCTCTTACGTCTGAGGTTCTGGACAGGTTTTGTTCGACTCAAGGCCGAGGTCCTGGATCTGGAGAACTGGTTTCTGTGCCCATAGATCTTATTGCTGGGATTGGTGCATTCCAAACCTAAAGTTTACCTAAAAGTTTACCTTTTCCTGTTATTGTTAAGAGTAAGTTATGGTGGTTTTGTCCTCTCTTCTATGGTAGATATTTATTTTGGAGTGTCTCCTAGGTGATGCCTTGGCATCTGCTTTAACCTTCCTTTACCTTGAGGGATTTGCTCCTATCTGGATCTGTGCTTCAGTGTAAGAGGTGTTGGATTCAGCGGGTGCTTTGTCCCACCTTTCCTCTTTGGGTTTCAAGCATTTTGACTCGGTTATAGAGCCAGGAAACTGGCCGGTTGGTTGGTCCCACTCCTTCCAAAGTTCGGGATGTAATTGCAGCACGGAAACAGTCTTGCCCCCTGCCACTTTAGTTCTCTACCCCTTTGGGCTTAGTTTGGCACCCTGTTCATTTTCTTGTCTTTCCTGCTGTTTATTTGAGAATATCGGCTCTTGCATCTGTCTTTGTCTTCCACTGGCAGGCACTTTTGACCTCCAATTTGCCAGCTGTACTTGCTAACCAATGGTTCTGTTGTGTTCTTTGGTCTCCTTGTCAGTTTTTTTAATGTTTGTACTGATTTTGCTTCCCTCCTCCTCATGCTTGCTCTCGTGGGGTCTTTATTGTATTGAGCAATTTTTGGTCATTTTACCCTTGGCTTGCTTCATGTGCCCACTGGGACTGGTCTGATTGCTGGTTTTTGTTGTGTTTCTTTGGTTGGCTGCTTTCTGAAGATTCGGGGTTCACCATTATTGTTCTGCCGCGACTTTGGAGTTTCGGTTGTTAATGGGCCCTGGATCCTGCTGCTCATGCTCTTCCTTGTTTGTCTGGAGTGGGCAGGCACTTAATCTGCCACTCCTGTTCCGTGGTATGCTCTTGTGTCCAGCATTGTGGCATGCTTCAATCCCTGTTTGGTATTTCTGTGTCCCTCTTTTCAGGAGTCTTAGCTCTCTGTCTGCACTTGTCCTGTGCTCCAGTGGTGCATTGCCTATATCAAAGGGCTCTTTCTTATTTCTCACGTCGTGGCTTCATTTGGTGTCTATAACACGACTTTTGGTATCTTAGTCTTCAGTCTTCTTGGAAGTTCTCATTGCAAGGAGTCATTTTGTCCTGATTGAAAAATCATTCTCATTTCGCCCACTTGGTTCCAACTGAAACTGAGCCTGGAGATTTTTCTT